ATAAAAAAGCCGAAATTAGTATGGAAATTAATAAGCACTAAAATAACATTTTCTAGTAAACTTTCAATATGAACTACTCTTGATAACTGTTTTAATACCATGAGTAAAAGTGCATACTATTCACTAAACATTCGCGGTTAATTTTTTTAAAGTATTTTTTTAACGCCAACATAAGTCATTATCATTATCTTAATTTTGTTTTTAATCGAAAAATAGTGTTGAAAATCTATTCTCGTAGAGTCAATCAATTTTACGTTGGGTATGAATGGTGAATACTACACCAAAATTGAATGTGCAGTTTTTTATCTTACGCGGAATCATTCTACAAATCAAAGAATTCATCTTGTAATTCATCGGGAATGCTGGCAACATCGAGGGAAGAAGAGAAAGAGAATGGATAACGCGTCAATGCAGATTCTTGTTTTTTTTTCAGCTCAGAGAAATAGCGCTGCAGTTCGTTTTCACTTGATTCAAGATGCCCAGAAATTTCTTCTTTCAAAATTTTAATGATCTCACAATTAGATTCATCTACCACACTGCAGAGTTTCTAAAATTTACAATATTTCCAAGATTTATTTTCTTCGCCGATTTTGCAGCTTTGATAAAAATGCCCCGAGATAATCATGGAAAGTGATAACATTCGTTCATTTTCCCTGAAGCTTCAGGTTAAGATTATCTTGATGTTTGAACACATCTGCTAGGTATGATACTCTCTCCAACCACTCTATGTCGTTTTAAGTATACCAAAATGTCTTGTTTCTTTTGCATTTCCAAGAACAATTTTGATTTCAGATTTCAATTCAAAAATACGATTCACAACAATTCGTTTGACAGCCAGCGCACTGTAGTGTAGAAGAGCAGAACCTCGTGATCTATATTCAGGTCTTTGCTCAGTTCTTTGAAGGCTCCAGATTTTATATAATTTACCACTTATACTAGCAATGGAGTCTTGATGGCGATTGGTGAGGGCAGTGGTTAGGGAGCTAAATCTTTTCTGCTTTCTGAAAGCCCGATTTGACCTAAACATAGATGGTGCACCATCCGTACAAACCCTCACAGCTGTTTTAACCCATTTTAATCATCCAATTAAAAAAAAAAACGTATTTATTTTCTCCATGCTATCTTCACAAAAGAGCAACTCTTTGCTATCATCTGAATTAATATAGACAAAGACCAGCAACTGCGAACTTGAACTCACGTCTGTTGATTTATCAACTTGAAAAGCAAACAATGGTGAAAGCTTAATTTCAATAAAAATGTGTTATTTAACATCTACGGACGTGTAAGAATTAACTTCACCATCTTCAACATGCAGCGTTTGATGAGATTTTCTCCTATTGTGTTTTTTTTTTTTTTGCTTGGCATTTTCTATCACGACTTCATTTGATGCTTGCACTAATGCTGTGTTTCCTTGGTGAAAACTTCCTGTTCGATCAAGTCTCTGACGTTTGCAACTAGCTTCATACCGACGAAAGACCTTCATATCTTTTTTGATGTGTTTCGAATGACTCGTCTCAAATGACGTTTTAGTTTTGAAGATTTCATAAACTCGTGACTGAGAACAACTTTGTACAGTACGCTTTGCTTCTTCTCTATGCCCTTTCCAGTGATGTTAGTAAAGCCGAATTTTAAAAAATTCTTCTAAATATTTATGTTTTGTTTCAAATTACTAAGGTTTAGTATACCAGTTGGCGACCCCCCAGAAAGCCCTTCGCGACCCCCAGGGGGGTCGCGACCCCCAGGTTGGGAACCCGTGGTCTATAGTCTATAGGGCAAGTGAAGTAGAGCTCACTTGTTTCTGTGACCTCAGCATATGAAGAGATATGCCCAGCCGCCTTTACTTTCCCTAACGTGAGTTAGGTACCCATCAGAGTTGGGTGGACTCAGGGACGGTCTACTGACTTGAACTCGGATTCGAAGTCGAGGCTTACGGGTTAGCAGTCCAGCTCTCTACTGCTAGACCACTCCGTCTAAATACCTTACTAAGTTTTTACCTAACCAAACATTCCACATGTGATTGGCATCTGCTAACGGTTACCCAAGTACCCCATAACAGAACAATGCCAGTGTTATAAATCATTAATGTTTGTGTTATAGAGAACAACCCAAACCAACCAGACAAATTCAAACCAGAACCCAAGGAGGCTAAATGGGGGTGGGCATTGGGTGTTGGAATCTTCAGCATCATCGCCTCAATCATCGCCCTCTTTGTCATCCTGGACATTGTTTTATTCCGTAAACACTGCAAATTTTGTCAATCAAATCTACGCTCATTTAAGTAAGTAGCCTTTTACAGGTAAGCAGAAAAAATGTTATTAATTGTTAACTCTTCTATTATATTGGAGAGAATCAGCCATAGGATATGAAGATAGAATATATATATTTAACTCTCCAACTTATGTCATCTACTTGATAAAGCTGGGTTAGCTCAGTTAAACTTTATATATGTAGAACTTCAATTATCCATTTCCTGAGATACCCATTACAATCTCAACAGTGCCAGATTTTAATTTTATTGTTTCTCAAACCTGTTAAAGTGCTGTAAATTGGAATTCAATTTTTTTTTCTTCTTCTTTGTTCTTAACTGCTGGAAGTGATTTTTTCCAACACAATTATGGCATGTTAACCTTTATGCGCCATATAGGCTGTTGACTCAAACTTCAGCCTGCATTTTTGGATTTGGTCCATAGCCTTTGTCCAACCATCAACAAACTACAACGCTCCCCTCCTGTAAAATCTGACACATTTTGTCCACCATATAAAATTAAACTCCACAACCCAACATTACGTTCAATACTAAATACTAAACATACTTAAACCTCTGCTACACTGTGATTCAAACAACTTTGTTCTTAAAAGCCTATGCCAGAAAAATATTTTAAATTCGTTTTAGAAAAATTATAAATTATAGGAAGTTATGAACAAAAGTTTAAAACAAAAATTATTTGGAATGAATAATTTTATTCATTTTTACTAATCATTTTTCAGGAAAAAGATAAAGAAAAAACTTCGCAATAGAAAAACTAAGCCCTATGACCAAGAATCTAAGTTCCCCAGCCAAGCAAACATGAAGCCAGAGAAGGCAAACAGTATCACAACATCACTTTCTGATGTCTCACAATCATCAGCAGAGACAGTATTAACTGAAGTTGCTTTGTGATTTATTAGGGAAAAAAATTTTAATACCCTAGTTGAACATCTCTAACAAACTGAGCTGTTTGTTTTTGTGCAGTAGGTAAAGAACAAAAAACAACTAGATCTATATAGTTCACACTAAGACAGCTTATATATTAAAAACAAAATATGTTATCATTTGAGTACTATGCATGTAACAAAAAAATTGGGATTTTGTTTTAATTTCTTTACAAATGTAGTGCAACAGAGATTGTTCTTAAATGTTGGTAACTGCCTGGAGAAAAAAGTTAATTAGTTTTGCTTTATATGCCATAGTACATTCCACTGTTATGTTTTTTTAAATAAACTATTGCGATAAATGTATAAGCCACTTTTTAACTCTTTGCCTTCCTCCCCTGGGTAGTTTGCATAAATAGTATTGCTATGTAATTAAAATTTTTAAAAGAAGCCTATAGATACAAAATTTCAAAAGTTTTTTTAAAGTAATACTGTTTTTAAAAAAAAAATTTGGAACAATAAGATTGTGTGAGTCAGTTAATAAAAATAAATTTTTTTGTAGTTTGCATATTTGATGTAAAATTACTCAGTAATTACTATTGAAACGCATTACAAAACATTTTCAATTAAAACAAATGTTTTATTTATTTTAGATCAAATTATAATACATATAATGCAAATAGGATTAGATGGAATACCATTATGGTAGTGTTTATGGATTTCCAAATTTTTTTTCAACAGTATATATATATATATATATATATATATATATATATATATATATATGTGTGTGTATATGTATGTGTGTGTGTATAAAACCTCATATCACAACACAAAAGTTTTGCTAAATGTGCTCTCCAACAAATTTTATATTACATAACAAGTATTAAAATAAATGATTGTCTTCTACAATTAAATTTTTTTTACATGAAATGAGTTAGCTATATAATTACCAAATGAAACACCCTTTTAAAACAGGTGACCATCTTAATGAGAAAATAGGTATTTTAGAAATACAATTTACTTTGGAAAAAAAGGTTAGTATTAAGTAATTTCTAGTAAAATTATTTTCATTGTTTTTTTTTTTAAACTGAAACAATAGCTTAATTTATAATGTTGTTTAAGGGTACAAAGCAAGTGTAATATTTTTATAACTCTTGAAACAGCAATCATTTTCAGTATAAGTAATTTGTTTATAAATTAATAAAAATATAATTTTTACCTCTTCATTATTATGTTTCAATTTTTTTTTTTTGTGAAAATAATGAGGTCATGGATTTTCAGAAATTAAAAAAAAGAGAAACATGTTTATGTTAAGCCTATATGCATGAATTACAAGGGACATAAGTTTTGAAAATAATCATCATAAGGCACCTCTTTAACAAGTATATTTTTACTTTTCTAACAACATTAAATATAAAACCATTTACCCTTCAAAATATATTAATTAACACTCAGCATAGAATGCTACTCAAACCATCTGAAATAAGAGATAATAATACAACCAATGTTTTCTTATGAAATTATGTAAAGGTTTCCAGTTAACTATAAAGGGCATGATGCACAGTTTCAACCCATATACCCACAAATCTTTCTTGAGATTTACCATGTTTACAAAAATTGTAGAAAAAAAAAACCAACAAAAACACATTTCCATTGAGTCATAGCTACACTTTCAGTCTGACACTTCTCCATAAGAATATTTTCCCATCTGAACCAAATACAAATCAACAAAATAAGTTTAAATAAAATATAAATGAAAAATTATTAGCTTAAATAGCTGTCATAGAAATAAGCAGATAATAAATTGTATAATATAACATGTAAGAAAGTATAAGCATTATAGACAAAACTAATCTCCAAAACAGTGTATACAAACTTTTAATTAATTTATATTTTTAGTTTTCCTAAATCTATTAAATTAAGGAATAAGTTAAAAATAATACAGGTTTAATAAAGTAATATCATATTAAATAAAAATATTGTGGAGCAAATAAAGCAGATGAGTAACAGAAATAAAAAAAAGCTTAAAGCTTATTCACTTTAAGCAATAGTAAAATATAATTCAATACAGTACACTAGTTTGTCCTTGTACGAGAACTGGCCTTTAGCATAGTATTCTCCATTAGGAATAGAGGCATCGATTTCAATGAAACTTAAAGGCATAATGTAGTGACCCTGGAATGAGAAAAAAATTATACACATTTTGATTAAGTAGTGGAAATCCATTACAAAAAACATATAGAAAATAAATATACTTATTTCAGATAATTAAAGATCTGTAAAAAAAAAAAAAAAAAAAAAAAAAATTACCTTAGTATAAGGACATTTACAAGGAATTTTATTATCCAGGAAAGGTTGAGGGCAAACTGCATAAGTCAAAATACTACACAAGTCTTCATAAGTACAAGAGCCAATCCCACTGATGCAAGGGAGGTGAATCCAAAAATCACCAATCCGTTTCTTCAAATCCACAACAACCTATAAAATTCAACAAATTTAAATTTTGAAATTTTCATGTTAAGTTCAAGGTAAATAATAAAACAATATAAAAAATATTTTAGACTAATAAAGGACCATTCCAGTTTATTCAACGCTGTAAAATTAATTTATCAAGAAACAGTTTTAATATAATTTATGTAAAAAACAATCAAAATTATTTGCCAAATTTTTTATCCAAACTAAACTTATTATAAATTTCACCTTTAGTGGTGTGTCAACTGTTTCTTTAATTTCAACATCAAACTTGATACCAAGCTTTCCAGGCAATACAAGGGGGTCTGGGGAGAGTGACAAGTCATTTACTTGACCAATCCGTCCTGAGCTGTTGTCACAACTTTGCCAGTTGAATGCTGCAAGGGTCCTTGAAGAAGTGTGCTAAAACAACATGTCAGTGAATTTAAACCACAGAATAATCAGCAACCAAAGGATATAGAAAAAGTATTTGTGTGCAACTGTCCTAATAAAAAATAATGTCCAACCAATGTCTGACTAGGGGTTAAAAACTTGGGGCTATAGAGTTTTTTAAGTTTAGTGACAACTTTTTCAAGAAGATTCCATTTACTCACATTTTCAGACACTGGTATTCAGACTCATATAATCCTTTAGTAGAAAATAGGGCCTACATTACACTACAAAAACTTTTTTGACTATTTTTACTTCCAAACCTCTTACTGTCACACATTCTCACAAAATCCAGAACCCTCCCCCTCTGAAAATAATGTCACACTTCAGCATCTACACCTCAACCTCAAAATTATTTTTTTAAGCTTTGATTTCTTTCTAAATATTGACTGAGCTCAATTATTATTGAGTGTATAAATAAATTTCTATTGAGAATTTCCTTTCCCAAACCTGACGTTCCATTGGGCTAGTGAAGTAGGGTTCATCTGTTTTTGTTACCTCTGCATATGAAGGGATAGTGTGGTCAGCACTATGCCCAGTCACCTTTACTTTCCCTAATGTGAATTAGGTACCCATCATGGATTTTCTACTGACATGAACCCGGATTTGAACTCAAGACTTTCAGGCTAGCAGTCACTCTACCACTAGGCCAAATCATCATAAGTTGTCACAAAATTACAAACCCTCCCCCACCCCCTTAAGAAGACTCTATTCTATTATCACTGGTATAAAAATCCACTGTATAAGTACTGTAGTATAAGACATAAGTCAAGTGACTATTACTACTACTAGTAATTAGTAATTACTAGGCCCTAATTACTAATTAGTTAATATATTAAAGTATTAAATACTTAAATTTAATCATATGATGATCATGTAAAGCAAACCAACATTTAATTAATAAATAATAGTTAAAGTAGGCTTAGATTCTAGAATTTATTTATTATCAACCTACAAGAACATTTGCATCGTTGTGATTAAGAATAAGATTCAATAATTTGCTGTGTTCAGTTTCATCTTTCACTTTGTTTAAAAATTCAAATGCTTTCTCTTTGTAACTTTCTTCAGCTGTTGCAATATATTTATTTACTTCTTTTATGGCCTCATTTAGATCTAGGTGATCTAGATCGATGTTGTGTTTGTTGAAATAAGAAATTTTTTCCTCGTCCTGAATTTTCAATATTTTCATGTTTTCAACTCCAGCATTTGAGGTTACACATGTAATATTAATCACTGTAAAGAAAAACCACACTATTTTCATTTTGTAGAATAACATTTTAATGAAACGCGTCCAGTACGGTAAGGTAATAAATTTAATATAAAATGTGTATCTAGTCTAGAACTAATCTAGATTTAGATTCTAGATTAGATTCTCAGAACAACTACTCAACTAGAGTTAGATTTTAAAACGCAAGCTAGGCTAATCTTTATCATGTGATCATTCACGTGACTTAAGTTTCCGTAGATACCATCAACCTTTTTCAAAATAGCCCGATTGAATAAAATTGATGCAGAGGCCTACACGTACATTAGTACAATCACATTGTTCAATCTATAATATAGATTATTAATTAATCTTTCGGCCTAATTGTTTTTCAAACAGTATGATCTACAATTCGCTATAGATTTCAGCTCCTCTATTAATTTATTATATTTTATTTTTTTAGAATTAAAACTGGGGTGTGGGGAAATTGCGAGACGCGAAAAGCGAAATGGCGAGGCGGGAAAATGCGAGAAGATCATGCGAGACATACCTGCGGAATCAAGGGTAAATAGCGAGACACTTTTTGCGAAAAAAAGTTTTTTTTCATGCTTATTTCATCTTTATTTATTTAAATTATTTTTTTTTTGTTTTAAAATAAACTAGCATGTAGCCATACCCTTTCAACACGAGTGTTGTATGTTGTTATTTTTTATCTAGATTTTATTATATATATATATATATATATATATATATATATATATAGATAGATACTAAGAAGATAGATAGATCTATATCTAGATCTATTAAAAAATCCTAACATCGTTGCTGTGCTACTGTCATCGCCCGCTCTCGTTAGCGAGAGGAAAATCCCGTTTCAGTCGGCGTTAATTTTAAAAATCTAGCCCGCTCATGTTTATACAAACGTGAGCTGTGTCATTGTGAATTGGTATAATTTTGTCAGCAGGAGAGATATTCTGCAACATGTATTCATGGATTGTTGTACTTGCAAAAAGTGTAAAAGTATAACCAATTCTTAAAAGTGTAATTTATTTTTTATTAAGTAATTTTAATTACAAACAAAATTTACAAACAAAATCTTCTGAAACAGTCCTAGCATTAATCAAACACACCTCGTCACACCGTGAAAACTGCCACAACAATAATAAAAATATATCTAATACAACAGTCTATGTGGTTGATCTAAAATGATAAATATTAATTATTAATAAATCAAAACAATGTTTAGTATTTAGTTAGTTTAACTTTAACTTGTAGGTCTAACGAATCGAAACGTGACCCATATTGGCATATTTGTTTTAATGCGCGCTACATCAAGTTTTCAACTAAGTAATACTGCTTGTTGGGGGTCATACATAAATGACGTCACGCTTTTTTGACGATTTTTACCCCCCCCCCTCCGTCACAAAAAGCCAGACCCCCCCCCCTAAAATGACGTCACACCTCAACCTACAACCCCCCTCAAAATTGCAGTTGAATTTTTTTTAAACATCGATATTTTTCCAAAATCTTGTCTAAACTATTACAATTTATTAAAACAGTTATCTAAAACGCGAAATAACGTCTAAAATTCGTTTTCTAACATTGCTTTTTTATAATGCAAAAGTGTGACGACGTCGCAACATCTGAACCCCCCCCCCCCCCCCCCACCCCTCATCACAAAATTACGGACCCCCCCCCCCTCCCCCATACGAGTGTGACGTCATTTATGGATGACCCCTTACTGACTTAAGTTATTACAAATGGTTGCTTAATGTTAGTCCCACCTGATTCGTAATTCTGACATTTCAACGCATGATCTACCCACCATTCAAGATTTTAATGAAAATTATCATGCAAGTTTAATGCCTTTGGAAAAACAAGGCGGTGCATCATTTCAGATTTTTACACCAACCTCCCGAGTTTCTTCGCGGGGCACATCCACCCGGAGAATATAGAATATTTAATTTCTATAGAAATTTTTTTTTTACTTTAAACCCCCCCCCCCCCCCCCCACGAAATGCTAGAGAGAAACTTGACCATTTGAGCAAGTATTGCCCCATTATGTTTATTTCAGTAGCATAACAAGATAATAATCATTATTTACAAAAAAATTAGTTAAACTTGTAATTTTCATAATCCTTTTTGTTTTGGATTATTGCAGTATCTTCCTATGTTAGCGATGTTACAGTAGACCTTCATTTTTAAACCTTTCACTGTAGACTTTTATTATACACGGTAGTATGTGACTGTTTTGCTTAACATGTATGTTCTGATTTATTCAATGGTAGAGAACAGAAAAAGAGTTGTTTGGAAGTAATTTGTTGACAGCATTAGCTGTTTTACTAAAAGAGGGGATGTACACAAAATAATTGGACTTGGCAATCAGTAGTTAAAGAAAGTTTTAATTTCCAATCCAACTTTATTCAACATATTTTATGTAGTAAAACATAATTCAAATAGATAAAATCCATCATCAAGCAAATGCTTATATAAAAGTTTATATTTGTAAATATTTGTAGAACAAAAACATGTTTTTTTTCTTACTGCATGTTTAAGTGTACAAATAAGAGAAACCACAATAAGGCCCATAGTTTTGGATGACAAGAAAGTCAAATTTCATTAAAATGTTATAATTTAAGAGGAATTTTAGGCCATGGAAAGGATATAAAATGTGACATGTTAGAGAGCACAATTGTACATTTTTCAAATGTGTTGGTTTGTGAATATATTCAGTAACATAAGCAAAATGCAAGAATATGAAGTTATTTAAAATATAATGAACTTTTTTTAACTTCAGTGTAAGGTACTATACTCTCATCTTCTTTCCTGATGGGGCAGGTGAAGAAGGATTAATAAAATATTACCTGGGTCATTTCTTCAATGACCATGGCATAAAAGGGGATAGTAAGGTCAGAACTACGCCAAGCCACTTTTTTTCCCCTAATGTGAATCAAGTACCCATTAGAGCTGGGTGGACTCAGGGACATCCTACAGAGTAAAGCCAGACAATCCTTTAAAGAAGCATATTATTTTTTTAGTAAGTAGTTTTAAACCCTACTTATCATTCATTTGGGGGATTTTAATAGAGGAAAAAAAATTATAAAAATCAAACTTTTGAACATTATAATTTCAAAATGTCTATACCACCATTGCATGGTAAATTGTTTTATACAGTATAAAATTTTGCTCTAGCATAAATTGGGAAATAGAATATTTTTCTTCAACTAGGCCTATTACTCTAAATATAACTTTGTAAACTATAAGTATAACTATTTTTACTTTTAGTCTTGTTCATGGTAATGGTATTCACTTGAAACTTAGTTATATGAATTATACATTTAATAAAGAAAACTTTCCACATATAAAGTAAAATTACTAATTCTCATGCCACATTACCAATTTAAAAAAAACAATACAGAAGAAACAAAAAAAGAGTTAACAGTTCTTAGTATTACAAAAAGTTACATTTTATTTTTTTGGCAAATTATGAATTACATACATAACTTTTAACTTGATTTGGTTATAGAATTTTTTTATCCAGATCTAGTAACAGTACATGCTTTTTGATTCAGTAATTATCTTTTGCCTCTTTTTGCACCCTGGGGCGGCTTCTGCAGTTGAAAGGGTTGCTTCGTGTTGGCTGAAACATTTAAATTGGTCCCAGCAAGGTTTAATGCAGCAGTTGTTGATGATCCAAGAGTGGGGGGTGTCCCGAAACCCCCAGTAGCCGGGGATGACAACAGAGAAGTTGAGGAAAACAAGTTGCCCACTCCACCAATACTGGTGCTTGTAATGTTAGAAGCTCCTCCAAACCCTATGTAGAAGAAAAGAATCTATCATAACTCAAGTGTAAAATGGCAAGTATAATCCTTGAACCAAGAAAGCACTGAAACCCAACACATTTAGCTCTGGTCGTCGGAACAAGATTTAGTCAACATTTGCTCACCTTTAAAAGAATCGTAGTGATCAACTAAAAATCATCAGTTTTGAGTTCTTGTTAATTTCAATGTAGCTGTGTTGAAAAAAGTCCAATTCAGCTAACATTTATACTTAGACTTATGCAGCAACTCTATCATACAAGGGGCGGGGAAAGCAAGGATTGCATGTCCTTTTATACAAACCTGCAGATGGTTTAGTAGCACCAAATAACCCAGTTCCATAGGGTGAAATAAGCGCAGTTTGAGAGCCCCCTACTAAGCTTGTGATTGGAGGACCTAAAAAAGAAAAATCCATAGTAAAATGAACCACTTGAATTATTATAATTGAATTTACTCGTTATACAACCATTTTACAAAGTATAAGATGAATGGGCAAATAAAGCGACCCAACCTTATCAAGTTAAAAAATATATTCATCCTATATTGATAACACCCAGAAAATAAACCCCACCTCCCCCCCCCCCCCCCCCCCCCCCCTTTAACTCCAATTTCAAGATTTGCCTTATAGGACAGAAAATGTAATAATAAAATTTTTAGCCAACTTTTCTTAAAAAAAAAACAAAGCAAGCATTATAGTTTAAAAAAAAACAACTAAATAACCATATTAACCTTGAGGTTGTTGAGCACGTGTATGCACTAATGCCATAGCATGAGCCGCTGCGTTTGTAGTCCCTGGAAAAGGATTTGGACCTGCCAAATCTGACAACTGGGATCGCTTTGCTACCTTAAGAGCTGGTGTAGGCTTATAGAAAATGTTTTTTGAATCTCCATGAAAAACACGTCTGTAGGTCAAAAAATGCTCTTTTTGGCTCTGAAAAGAAAGTGGATTAAAATAACTTCAAGGCTAGAAGTGATTTATAAATTTAACTTATTGAAGAAAAAACGCAGCGTAAAAAGAATAAGTATATCTCAGAAGTATTTATTAAATAATGCATTTCATTTTTTAAACTTCTTTAACTAAACTAATATAAACCTGGATAATGAGTATTGGACAAAATAGGTTTACACCAAAGAATAGACAAATTTTACCTTAACAGTTTCATGTACTTGTTGCAACTGAGAAGCCAAGGAAATGAATGTCTCATGGAGCTTTTTTAGTAGTGATAAAACTTCTGTAATTAAGAAAAAATTAAATATCTCAATTCACCTATAGTAAAGAAATAGGGATGTTCAGTTACAGACAGTGGCTTATGAAAAAAACAAGAACAGATACATTTTTAAAAATTTGGTAAACTTGAAAGTCAGGCTTTCAGCACACACTGAATGTTTAAAGGATTGTTATTTTGAGAGCTAATTAAGAGACATTTATTTCCATAGTAATAAAAAAACAACCTGAAGGTGTATGTGAGCTGGGCTGATGCAGAGCAGCCAAATGGTTATCAAGTGTCTCTATTTGCTGTCTGTACATGACCATTCTATCTTCAAAGTCTTCAACAAGGTGTTGGAAATATCTAGATGGCAAATGAAAATGTATACAATTTAATTCAAATGCATTGATGCTTAAAGAAAAGCAATCACTTTTTGCAAACCTATTTTAGTGCAAAATACAGACATACTCTATTGGTGCTGTGTTCTCATATTGTAGTCCAGCAGGGATGTCTTTTGTTCTCTGAGCCATCTCTGCATTTTTTAGTTTCTAATAATAACAGAAACAAGTAATAAATTTATGCTTGAGATAAAAAATGTGATATATAGTTTTTAACATATTTAGTTAATACAAAGTAACTAACTTATTCAGCCTAATGTTGTATTTTTGGAAAATTTTATGTTACACTTAAAACACTAGGGCTCATACTATTTATTTAGGTTTGTGCTGGAAATTATTATGAAAGACTCATGATAATTAAGAATAAAATTGATAATAAATCTAACGTATAAGTAAGAGAAAGATGACAGATTCAAAACAAATGCTGTGAGACAAAATTCTACTAAATTTTGATAAGAGCAGTAGAGCAATCAATGAAACAATTACTACATGACCACCTCATTAACTTTATTAAAAATGCATTATCAAATAAATCTGGCCAGGAATCCCTAAAATTTTCTTTAGGTAAAATTACAAGTCAGAAATTTCTTTATAATACATTTTAGGGGGTAAATAATTGTTCTACTTAATGATTTGAAGATGTTATATAATTTTAGCCATGGAAAAATATATGTACATGCATAAGAAGAACTTTGTGAAATGTTTATATGAAGTATATAAAATAAAATACTTTAAAATAGCCAAAATAATGATGAAGAAAATAATCAAATAATACCTGGGTCATTTCTTGCTTAAGTTTCTCAACAGAGCAAGCATTTCGTTGCAACCCGTTTGCCACCACTGAGAGAAGCTGTCTAAGGGCAGTAACATCTTCTTGCACTTTCATCATAGGCTTGGAGGACATACGCGCTATATCTTCCCTAACTGCTTTTTCCTCTTTCACATATTTTCTGTAATATAAGTTCGTGGGAAAACATCCTATTTAATGCGCACAACAGAAAAAAAGATTTACTCAAAGTTTAGTAAATGACATTGCAGTGACAAGAAACCATAAAGCTTACTTACAACAAAGGCTCAACAGTAGCTGTTAACAATTCTGGCAGCAGTGATTCTTTGAGCGTCTTTCCATCACTAAATAACAAGAAATTTAAAGGTTAAAGTTAAACATAACCTTCATTTAAAATTAATTTTAAAAATGTACTTGAAAAAGCTACTAAAATTAAATACAAATGGTGAAAGTAGATAAAATACAATAAATAAATCACCAACCTTGCAGCTCCTGATCCACTACTCGAGCCTGAAAAATATTTTTAAAAAAAAAAACACTTAATATTTGTGCAGAGTAATAAAGTTAAAAAAGCCCATAAACAATTAACAGCTTACAGACAATAATTACATGCAACCCTAGAGTAAAAAATGAAAAAAATTAACAATGAAAATTGAAAGTAAAAAATAGTGATAACTTTGTAAAGAAATTATTTTAAAATAGCTAACCTGATTTAAGGGCAGTGTTTGGGTCAACACCGCCAAGCCCAGTTATAGTTGAAGTTGTGGGTAGAGCAGAGAAAATGCTGGAACCAGCAGATGTTGATGTTGCTGTATTTGCAGTCCCAAACAAACCACCACCAAGCCCAGCGCCCAAACCAGAGCTACTACTACTACTAGATACTGGTGTTGAACCCAGTAGTGAAGTCCCTGTAAAAATGACAAAATAAATTCTCAGATGAAATGCATTGGAAAAAATAAATGAAAGCTCATTATATCAGTCACAGGAACTTTTTATTAAGCATTTTAAAGACATAAACAACAAAACAATCAAGTGAAATACAGCCTCATCTTCATAAACATGTATGGGCACATTTCTTTAAAAGAACCACACCAAAAATATACAAGAAATAAGCCTGACATACCAAATCCAGTAGGTGCAGCAGTGCTTGTTGCTGGCTTCCCAAAACTAAAACCTTGTCCCAGTGAGGCAGTGGATGTAGCAGGTTGGGAACCAAATCCAGATGTTGTTGTGGTTGTAGCACCAAATCCACCAAAAATAGGAGCATTACTTGTTGCTGCTGGGGTGGCTGGCAAAAAAAGCAATGGAAAATATAAAACATAACCAAGAATATTAAACTTACTGACAAAAAAAACCATTGTGAATAAAACTAAACATGTTAAGTAAATGTTGAACACAAACTGTTTTTGTAAAATTAGAATTATTTTCAACTTACCAAGAAGACCCGTAGATGCAGTTGTTTTATTCAGTCCAAAACTAAAGCCTGTTGATGGAGTGGAAGTTAATGTACCAAGTGCTGGTGCAGTCGTTTTAGCAAGCCCAAAAGAAAATGGTGCTGCAGCACCTGTAGCAGCTGTACCAGTGAAACCACCCCCAAACTGCATTTTTTAAGTCTGTAAAATGAATGAAAGTTACTCATGAAGAAATATTAAGCAAGCTAAAAATGTTGTATAGTTATAATTGTAACATCTTACTTACTAGCATTTCTCACGAAACGAAAGGTTTGCTGTTAAAAATAAAGCAAGCTCATGAACAATATTAGCAACTTGCTTAATGATAACTTAATGTATGATATTTGTAGTTATGCTATAGTTTTTTTTTTACACATTATGCAAGAAATAAATGTCTATGAATAAAACACAGTGGATTGACAGAGATTTATCATAATTTATGTGTTTCTCAGCATTCTTTATGTTTTATATCCAATGGTGGTCAACTTCTGCTCACATCTTCACATATGTATCTATATACCTTGTCACAGACTGGGGATTGCTCCCTGACTCAACTTTGAGTAACCGAAAATTAGCCCCAAATGAGCTAGAAACCAAAAATTAAAATGCCTTATTTTAGCCCCAACTGAACTAGAAACAAATTTAGTGTCTGGTTAAGATAGATCTTTGGCTTTCATTGGTATTGTTGAAATTTTTAAAAAGTACATTTTTTCAGTTACCATAGGCTAATAATTTTTAAATTTAGCAGAAGTCAGCTGATGTAGGCCTATGTGTTGTTTTTTATCGTTGTGCCATCTTATCTGGCGTCATGAGACAATCTAATACTACAACTGACTTACTGACTCGTCACTTTAAAATTTAATCTGCAAAGGGTTATTATTCCGGAATGGTTTATCAGTAAAAAAGTAAATAACATAACACTTTGAACAATTAACAACAGTAAAACAAACAAAGGTTTAGTCGAAATAAACTTTAAAACCAGGAGTAGGCCTACTGAAACAATATTTTCATTATTTTATTTGGCGCTATCCTTTTTTAAAATACAGAGCATTTTGAATTTGGATAGCTTGATTTGAGTTGCATATCAAATAGGCCTACTAGATCTAGGTGGATTTTTTATACCGTTATCAGTTGTCCAATATTCAGTAATGGCACAGTAATCAGTAATGATTCAATAATGAAAAAATGATTAATGGCGAAATGGCGAGGCAGTAAAATGCGAGACACTTTACTTACTAAAACTAGAATCTAGTCTAGAATTCTAGAATCTAGCCTAGCTAGATCTACCTAGCTCTTATCTACATCTAGATCTAAATTAGCTACATTCTAGAAGAAGAAGAGATCTAGTACTAGATTTTCTAGATCTAGGCCTAGATCTAGATCTAGTGTAGATCTAGATCCAGTATCAGTGAATCAGTACAGTAGGTAGACTAAAACTAAGTAGGGCCTATAGAAAAGTTTCAAAAGAAGAACGAAAAAACTAGATCTAGAGTAAAGTGGCGTCTGCGGACAGACGTAGCAAAAAAAACGGAAGTGCCGATTTCCATTGAGCGCCGTTCAGTAACCGCTTCACATAGAAACAAACCGAAAGTACCGTCTCACTCCGCATTCTTTCTAGTTTAATCACGTCTGATTCATTTTGTATTCATACGCATAGCATTGAATGTATTAACATTTTCAGTGGTGAGACTCTGTGCGGACAGTAAGTGCACTTTTTTTTTACATTTTATTTTCTGTGCGCACACTTGCTCCTTATGCGGACAAGGCATATTTTGTTCATTTTATTTCTATTTAAATGATTGAAATAGACACGTTTGATGATCAAAAATATTTTTAAAACCTAAAAACATTACTAAAAACTTATAGATCTAGATTTAGACTTAAATTTAAATATAAATCTGGAGTATCAAGATTAGTTCAAAGCTCCTTTTTACTTAAAGTGTAAGAAATATATTCTACTCTGATTTTTCATTAGTGTCCGCAAAAGGTTAACCCTCAAAAAAGATGCGGACACCCCAATTTTTCCTCTAAGATGGCTTAAACAACCTTAACTATGATATTTATAGCTTTCTATATATATATATATAAGCTATTTATAGTTAACCCAGTTAACTAAGCTATGATTGGTTCGATTTATTCCTCTAATCCGGAGACTAGTGCTCTTCATCCGGGTGAGGTTCCCTTTCATAAAACGTCATACATCGCAACTTTGAAAAATTCCAATTAATCTCCCTATTGAGTGAAATAGAAGAAATGGACTCAGATGTGTTTAAAAATGGACATGCTTTGTGTTGTTTGCGTTAGTTTCCTATAAAACATTCATACAATTATTGTTTAAGCGAAAAACAGCAAGGTGTCCGCACAGAGGCAACTGTCCGCATACTATAGATTCTAAATCTAGAAATCTAGCACAGCTAGGCTACTTCATCAATTTCAAAACCGTTATGGTAATCTATTTTTAAAAATTGTTTATAATTTTTCGTTACCCTCTAATAGTTATCTGAAGAACAAGATATAGAACTAGCCTAATCTTTTACATCTAGAAATCTATCTTTCTAATCCTTGCTTTAAAAAAACACACATAAGGCCGCTGTGGCCATTAACAGGATGGATTAACTCCCGATGCACATATGTCCGAACATAACCTTAAAATTTAAATGCTGGCCCAAATATTGTAATCCAGAAAAATAGCAAAAACATTTAGATCTATCTAATCTAGCATTATTCATTTTTACTTTTTTGAGTCCGCTTTTTGGATGATCATCGAAAAGCAGTTATTTTTGTATAGACCCTAACATAATTATTTTAAAAGAATACAACTTTTTTTAATGAGCCGGCCCAAGTTATAGCACTTAGGTGTCGTCCATAAAGACGTCACACTCGTAGGGGGGGGGGGCGTAATTTTGTGACGGTGTGTGATGAGGGAAGGGGGGGGGGTTTAAAAAGGTGTGACGTCACACTTTTGCTTTATAAAAAAGCAATGTTAGAAAACGAGTTTAAGTCGTTATTTTGCGTTTTTAGAAAACGGTTTTTAATAAATTGTAAAAGGAATTTATCAAAATTCTCTATGTTGACAGAGTTCTGTCAAGATTTTGGAAAAATATCGATGTTTAAAAATAAAATTCAATAGCGATTTTGAGGGGGGGGGGGTTGTAGGCTGAGGTGTGACGTTATTTTTACGGTGTCTTGCTTTTTGTGACGACTTGTGACGGAGGGGAGGGGGGAGGTAAAAATCGTCAAAAAAGCCTGACGTCATTTATAGATGACCCCTTTCTTCAGTGTGGAGAGACTCATGTATGTAGTGACATTGTAGGCCTACCAGTCCAGCTAAAAATAGCAGACACTTTTAATGGGTGACAATAACATCGTTTAAAACTGCCGCAATGAATTTAGAGCAAATCAGAATACAAATTAGTTATTTTAGAAGATTTTATTATTTATAGATATGTAAGTAAATACCTAAGCCAAAGTTAGAAATCTAAGTAAAGTTTTGTTTTTTTCGAATTTTATTTTAGACCGCAACTTTTTTTTGGTAACCGATGAACGAAAATAACCGAAAGTCACATGATAGGTTTTCAAGATGGAGGAGGTGGATAGAATCATAATACATTCACTGCGATCCATTGGATGGTAGGCCTAAGTTAAGCAATAAACAAATAGAATGCAAAATCAAAATCTTTAAACATTCAGACATTTTTAAAGGGGATCTTATAGATATAGATTCTAGTTCTTTTGGTTAATAATAAATAATAGATCTAGTTAATAGACAACCAGTTGCTTAAAAAAGTTGTTGCTGCAGTGGAAGTAGAATTTAGTAGAGTAGTGGAAGACTGGACGCCCAAGTTTTTGTTACTCAGTTTCTTTTATATATTATATAGATTCTACTTTTCAGTAATTCATAATTTGTGAATTCGACAGTACCAACGCTGCCACTGAAAATATTTCTTTAAAACACTATAAAGTATAAAAGTATCTCATTAAGGACGATAGCCCCCCCCCCTTCCTTCCCCCTCCCCTCCATTACAGTAAACTCCACTTAATTACCCCCCCCCCCCCACGTTTAAAATCGTTTCAAACTAAATTATCTGCCCCTAATAGTCGTCACTAAACCCGGCTCTATTTGTAAACATTTAGAGTGAACCACAGCTCACCAGACCATGTGGGGGTGGTAGGGAGCGCACTTACGGCTTGTTTTTCATAGCGTCTCCCAGAAGAGAATTATATATATAGATATTTATTAGGGACTTGGATGACGTAGATTTTGCCCCTCTAAAAACGAGAGTTTTTTCCCCATACCGTAACCTAGTGAATTTAGCCGTGCGGCAGTGGGTGATAATTTAAAAAAAAAAATTTCACTATTAATCACCATTGTTAATAGAAAAGTGTCACTTTATTCTGAAAGACAAATGGATTTCACCGATTGCTGTGTTATTTTTGTTTTTTTCTGCTACCGGTGCGTGATGGTGTGTTTCAGGCAAAAATTGGGTAAGTAAAACTTATTGTTCCATAAAAAGTTACTGTCGCTTTAGGCTAGAAATGCGATCTCCGAGCGTAAACACCATTTTTACATATGTGTTTCAAATTTCATTTAGTTATTCATTAGCGACGTATTTTTTTATAAATAACTTTGAAAGCATAGGGCTTACAACAGCTTAAGATTGCCGGAAAAGATCGATGTTAAAACCGGAAGTGGCGTGTTGTTGTTAATGACGCTATACAATGTAAATCTACTTGATTATCTAAATCCAGCAACATCCACATGAATCTGACTCCAAAAGCTTTTTAAATTATCGAATTACATTTGTTATTTATTAAACTTGTTATTTTTGATGACTTTTCATTTGTAGTTTGTTGTTAGATTCATTAATTAGGTAATTTTAGGATTGTAAATAAGATCGTTTTTTTCTCTCAGTTTGCGATGTTTATTTTTTAAACAGTAGATTCTAGATCTAAATTGTTAACTTAAGAATTATATTTAAAAACAAAAGAATGTTAGTTATATTTAGTGTGCTTTTCTATACAAATTTCTTAACCCTATCCCTACAAGGCGGGTCAAATTGACCCGACAGTGCTACATTTTAGTTAATTACCGGTCAACCACTGGACCAATTGTTTTGAGCTTCTAGATATGCTACCTACACATACAGTGCTTGATTTCAACATAAAAATGAATGTTTAATTTTGCATGTGTTCATGAGGGTGAGCAGGTTTAGGTTCACTATTCCTCTCCCTACAGACATGGGTCAAATTGACCCGTATACATTTATATAGAGAAAAATTCTACTAGTGTAGGGGAAAGTGGTATAAATCTATAGAAGTTTCAAACAACTTCCCTAGGTGCTAGACTTTTGGGCTCATAAGTTTGTATCCCTTCCTGCCTTACTGAAGTCACCAATTAGAAACATTTTTTGTCAGCGCCGAAACATAACAATCCTTTGTTCAACATTGTTGATAGCATGTTTTTAGACTCAACCTTCTTGTTACAAATGAAAATGTAGTGGATTGCTAGGTTTGGGCCTACACATTGAGAAGTTGTAAGAAAAGATGTACCAACTGATGACTGTATGGGTTCATTGGCTACTGTATCAATTTGAAAGCGATGAATCAGACCTGAACTTATTTTTGCTGCTGAATTTGGAAATTAGGGCCATACTGTCAATAAAGTATTTAGGAAGTTGTGTAATAGGCTTTGATATAATAAAGATACAGCAGGAAGCCAATATTGATTTGTATCTATGCAGTCTTTTGCGACAAAAGCCATCTGATGAGGTCAGTTTTATGGTCCGTGGGTGTTAGACCATGTCACCTCAGACAGTCCAACCATAGTTGGGTAAAATAGGACCAACTCCTTGACCAGCTTTGAAGCACATGGAACCATATTTTGATAAATCAATGGATATTGATATAGAGATGACTAATGTATCAATCTCTGATAACTTTGTACTTTACATTGGACTAAGTTTTTGGCTACTAATCTGTGTCAAGCATGCATATTGATGCCAAAATGATGACATCAAAATGGAAAGACTGCATGAAATCATCCATGTATGGCTCTAGCAACATGCCCCAATGGGCAAACTAAGTGGTAGCTAATGACCATATTTTTTCAATTTGCAACTAATGTCCCCAATAAGTTGAAGTGACAGCTATTACAAATAGACAGTTGCAGATTTACAAAATATGTATATTGTCAAAAGAGTTGGTTCTGCCTCAAGTTGAGCTTTGAACACAGAAAACTATGTCCAAGCTACTGCAATTCACATTAGATCAAATAAGAAGCCTTCTGAAACCACTCACTGAGTGTTTAGCCCAATAGCGTCATCCAAACAAAAGTTATTATGCGAGATACGATAACATGTTAGATGGTAAAATAACTATTTTGTCAAATATATGGATTCTATTTCTAGTCTATATAGCTTTACTGTGCAAACTGATACTAATTGTGATTAAGTTTTCTTGCATATGAAAAATAAATTGATAGTAAAGGTAAAAGTTTTTATATTTAGTAACTTCTTGTTTTATTTATGCCTAAAAAGTATAATAATAAAATACCTAAAACTAAAATTTTGCGTAGAAATGTATAAACTATAATTTTAGTGTCCATTTATCATTTAAATAATAGTTATGCTATAAAAAATATACATATGCAATAATAGATCCTTATATAAAAAGTATACGGGTCAAAATGACCCGCCTTGTAGTCGAATACAGTGAAAAAGGGTTGTAGGGATAGGGTTAAATGAACAAGTTAATTTTAAAGCTTAATAGTAGGCCCTATGGCTATTAGAAGTATTTGCATAATAGATGATAGGGCCTAGTATAAATCTACTATAGACCTATTACAGGCTATTACACTTAGTTCAGTGAGTTTGTTGGGACTTAAGGTCTAGTAATATTTAAAAAATAAAATGAATATAGATCTATTACAAGTGTTAATATTTAATTCCAAATGAACCATAATATGTATATTTTTATTCGGCCTTCTACTTGATTTTTTAGAGCAAGTTTTTACTTTTTTATTACATAAGTCCTCTTTTTTTATGTTAAACTTGTATAGGCCCTTTTCAATTATAACTCTAGGCATTTTTACTACTTACTTTATGTACATTTACACAATTTTCTGTGTAAAGCTACACTATAATACTGTATTTTTGCTATTTTATATTTTTCAGTTGGAGCTTTACTAGTCTTGGCCCTAGATAAAATGTACCAGTTCAGCAAGGGGATGGAGAATCAAAAGATGTGGATCTACTCATAAGCAACTTCAATGAAGGAGAAATAGGTCCACTTAAGAATGGATGTTGCTGGTTTTTATTACAGTTCTAAAAGCTATCAGTCAGAGGAGACACAGCTTCAGTAGATGTTTGATCAGATTTCATTTTTAAATCATTGATGGTGTTATTTTTTAAAGTAAAAAAGTGACACAAGCTAATAGACTTAAACATGTTATCCACACAGCATGAGGTGTCACTTAAATATATGACAGATGTTTCTTAATTATAAAACTTACCTTTAACATTAAATGGTGATCTTTACTCCACCAAATAAAAAATCATTTCAATTATTAAAATATTTGTTCAACAATAATTGTAAATTAAATTATATCAATTCTATGATAACATACACATAACATGGATGAAATATCATGAATATTGACAACATTTAGATACAATTTTAGTAATCTAAAATCAGTTTAGCATTGTACTTCTTTCTTGCAAAAAAGTAGTTGCGCAGAACAAAAATGACTTTTTAAATTTGACCAACATTGTAACAAAACCACATAAGCTAAGTGAAATATTTTTACTTTGTGTGGATGTATACAATGTTGGCACCAATTAGGCCAATTTTCATTAAGATATTCCATATAATAAAAATTTGACAACAGATTATGTGTTGCCTACAGCAGAATTTATTGTTTAAAATTAAGGGGGGTATATGAGTTTAAACCCCTTTTTCATTAAATAAAATATTTTTAAAATCAAATTTGAACAATGGTAATATCAAAGTATATAATAACCTTCATGTTTACAATATTTCTTGCATATAAGCAAAGTAATCTAAAATCAGCTCAACATTGTACTTCTTTCTTGCAAAAAAAGTAGTTGCGCAGAATAAAAATGACTTTTTTATTTTGTCCAACATTGTAATAAAACCACATAAGCTAAGTAAAATGTTTTGACTTTATGTTAATGTATACAGTGTTGGCACTATTCAGGCCAATTTTCAGTAAGATATTCCATATAATAAAAATTTGGCAACAGATTGTGTGTTGCCTATCAAAGACGCTTATTCAAAAATTTTAGGGGGGTGACCCTCTTTGTTAACATTATTTTTTATGATCATTCTCATCCACTTCAATTATTTTTATCTTACTCTTTTACTGATATCATGAGCTTGATCTTAGTGAATTTTCATTAAAAAATACCTGCTATTTATAAAGTTACAGAGATTTTAGTTCGCATCCAAAAAAGTAGGGAAGCAAAAAATTGAGAAAACCCCATAGTAAAAAAACCCGAAAATTAAATACGTTAAAAATTCATAACTCCGTAACCGTTTGAGCTAAAATTAAAATAAAAGTATCTTTGTTCTTGTCTAAATGAGCTCTATAAACTGGTGCTACTACATTATTTATTTTTTTAAAATTGAAATTTCATCCAAGTCCCTAATATTTATAGTATTGTTGTTTTATCAGAAAAATCTAGGATTATTGCCAATTATTGGTTTTATTACGTTATTACACTAATATTACCTATGTCTCACAATAGACCTCCAGTTTAGTTAAGCTTAGGTATGTAAAATCGATCGAGGCTAGTAATGTGCGACAAAGTTGCCTCATTGCTAAGGCTTTAATAAAAGTATATTGTGATATATTTGTGTCAAATATTATAGATAATTGAATAATAAACCAAAATCAATATACTATATAGGCCAGAAATTAACTTTAAACAGCAGTGTTTGCGAGCAATGTTTGCTATATAATATAAACGGCAGCCATTTGTAAAATAGAGTGGCTTCCACTGAATCTCCTGCTATAAGTTTACAAAAAAAAATTAAACAAGATGGCTGCTGAAGTAAACGAGCTTTGTTGCATCTAATGAAAACATCTCTTGTCTTATTTAATATTTATTAATCAAAAGTTTTCATACAATTGTTTAAAACAGGTACATGAATGAAACTTTGAAACATTTTTGTAACTTTCAAAACATAAATCTTCCTTAAAATGTGAAGTAATTACTAAAATTTAATGAGGCACCTTCTTTTTACATTACTAGCCTCTGCCGATTTTACGTACCTAAAACGATAGATTACCGACTTCCAATAGGATAGACTATGAATATATTACTGATGAATAGTAAATAGTTACTATAAAATATTTGAATGATTGAAGATACCGATGTCTTACAATAGTCTCTTCCAAAAATAGGTTCTTAGTTGTAAATCACACCCCTACTCACTTAATGTGTATGTTACCTTATAATAAAGTATTTAAAAACTTTTATGGCTTTACTACTAAATTAAATGTATTGTTCTTTTACAAAGTGATTTAGAAGATGAGGTACAAAGTTTACGACAGTTTAGTACAGAAATAATTATTGCAACTGTTGTGAAGTGCCTCAAGGCCATTGTTGGAGATGTTGACCTTCCTTCAACTCTTCCACCAGGGATGTCAGCAAGATTTCGCCTTGGAGCCAGTCTTGCAAATCATGTCCAGGTCTGGCATTAAAATCTTAATTTTTGTAAAAACAATTTTTTTATTATGACAATTGTTGTTAATTATAGCACTTTTTTTTATCCATATCCCCCTAGCAACATTAATTCAAATAATTTATTGAATTTGTTTGTAAAATAATTCCTACAGGATTTGGGATACAAGGGAGGAGATCTTGGTTATCAGACTTTCTTATATTCAAATGAATCTGAAATTAGGAAGATATTTATGTTCCTGGTTGAGAAACTCCCTAAAGAGTCATCTCAGGCTGCAGATGAACCATTGGGTAAGTAAACCATTTTTTAATATGATTTTATTACAGTAATTTTTATTTTTCAATATTTTCCATTCAACTTTACAGTTCCACTATTTAATTATTTTTTTTAAGTTTTAGTTTTAAAACTGCAGTTAAATTAGTGTTTTATTTTATTTTGTTCTTTGTTTTATTGTAGGAGCTTCCGTCCTTCTCCATAGGGCTATATCTACTGAGCTGGCTTGCCAGCTTTCCATGGCTTGGACCCCACCATTTTTAAAAAATAAAAGCATCAGATTGAGATCCAAACCCCCAGGGTGGCAAAGGGAGGTAAGTGCACAAATATCACTGTATTAAAGGCTGAAAGTATTTTTTACAATTTTGAACATTTTAAAAAGAAGTTAAAGAACAGTCATAAACATTCTAGTTAACTGATCACTAATACATAACACTGTAAGCCTTTTCATGGATAAAATATGGCTTATTGTTACATTTCTGAAAACTTTGTGGGAACCTGTTTTAGAACAGTAAAATTAGACATAAATAATTCATAACAGACTCTTTCTTATTTCTTCTTCTTGTGTGTAGGGTGCATGTTGTCTGCAACATTATCACAGCAGTCATGTCAAACTACCTATGTCTTTGGATATTTCTTCTAAAAGTAGCAAAGGTATTTAAAAATAAATTTTAACTTGCATTTTAATGTTGACTATTTATACATATCAATATGTTAGTTTTATCTTTTTAAATATAGCAACATCACTAAGCCAATGTTTTAACATTTTATCACAAGATTTATTTTTAAATAGCATTTAAATAAATTAATTTGGTAATTAAAAAAAAAACAACTACAGACCTTTATGTGCATTATTTAAAATATGAAGTTTTTAATGAGTGAAAAAAATACTTTCTATAGATTATTTTTAATTTCAGCCCTTCGATCATACTACACATCTCATTTGCCTTATATAACTAATCAAACTCAGCTTCACTGTGACACTGCACCTTCTATAATGGAGACAAATGCCTTGGAATTAGCAAGTCATCAAGACTGGGAGAATGAATGGAACCAAGTAGGCCTTGCCTCAAGGCTTACCCAACAAGTTAGTACCTACACTTTCTCAATCTGTGATGTATATTTTTGTATTTGATTTATTTTCTTTAAAAAAATGTGTAATTTCCTGAGGTATTTGAATTAATATTCCTTCAACAATGCATTATATAGGCTTTATTTCAATACCAATACATGGAACTTTTAAAATAATTTTTTCTTGTACAATTCACTGTTAATGGTAAATGGTTCTGAATAAAAATGTTAGATATTTAATAACTCAGAAACAATTCTGTATGTTAATCAATTAAAGTAAAAAATATGCTTATTTCTGTAGGAGTTCAAGCGAAGAAAACACGAAAGGCTGATGAAGATGATCAAAGACAGACTACAGCAGGATAGCCAGAGACAAGAGAGAGGAGATGGCCAAGCCCTGACAAGTGACCTCCAGCAGATCCTCAGCAACATTGAGAACCAGAGTAAAGCAGGTGCTGCTAAACTTAAAGGGTCTCGATTTGCTCACACAGAAAAATTGCAATATGCTAAGGTAACTATGTTGTACTTTGTTGGTAAAATGCTGTTGACACTGCCATATAAGCTTTTTTTTTAGAAATATTTCTTATTTTATGACATGAATGTTTTTAAGGATGAAGATAAAACAATGGCTCAAGTGGGTGCTGCAGTTCCAAGTAAAGACACAGAAGAGGTAAGATTCCTGCTGTTATATAGCTTTAATACTTCCTGATAATTTATAATAAAATCAATTTATTCTTAATTATCCAAACTTATTTTATTTTCTTAAAAAAATTCTTGTTTTTATTGAATCAAGTGATTTTGAACTTCTTTTTAAAGGAACAAGAGAAAAAACGGCAAGAAGAAGTTGATAGTTTGAAAACAGAGCTTTCCAATGTTACTGCTGATCTGGATAAACTCGACCTAGAAATAAAGAAATTTACAGCCAGTCGGCAGCAGATGGAAGAAGTCATTTCCTTAGAGGCTAAAAGTGCCGAAGAGAAAAATGTGACCTACAATGTCAAAAAGAGAACACTTGATTTATTACCTGAAGCCGAAGTAAATATAGGAAAGCTACAGGTAAAAGAATGTCTTTATTTTATACAAGTTATTTCTGACAGTTACTGCTGAAATTTTTGAGGTTTTAACAGTTGATGTTTTTTTTTTAAATTGATCAGTCTGTTGTGGATACAAGTGCTCAGAGACTTGTCAACTTAGCTAAACAGTGGGAAACACACAGGGTACCTCTCATAGAACAATACAGAGAGTTAAGACAGCTGAACTCAAAAAGAGAGGTAAGGAAAGACTGATATTTATCTCACTCACATTCTCTACAAGAAAATGCATTGCTTTTTTTTTAAAAATAATTATAATTTTAATTAATGCATAAATGCCAATATTTTAAATCAAAAGCTCAGATTAAACAGTTAAAAAGAAATCTTTAAATTATAATAATTTAATTAAATGTGAAATTTTTTTTTTTAGTCTGAAGCCCAAAAGAAACTTGATGAGATTAAACAGTTTAGACTCAAAATGAAAGAAACTGCAGATGATGCAAGAAGAAAAGACGAACTTCATAAACAACTGGTTAGTTTTTGTTCCTGTATGTGTAGAAAATAGAGCAGTTGGATGGAAATCATCTACCATTAAATGCAAAACAGTAATTACCTTTCTAAATAAAAAATGTTCATGTCTTAGTTTTTAACCTTTATCTACAGGTGTCAGAATATGAAAGAATGACAAAGGATGTAAATCGATCAGCTTACACCAGAAAAATTTTAGAAATTGTCGCTAATATTAAAAAACAGAAACAGGAAATAGATAAAGCAAGTAGAAGTTTCTCATTATTTATTAATGTTTGTTATAAATATATATAAATAAATAAATAATTATATATATATATATATATATATATATATATATATATATATATATATATATATATATATATATATAATCTGTGTGTGTTTTGATTTCCACTAACTGAATTTAAATGTATTTTAACTAATGAGCTTCATATATTTTAGATTTTGGTAGACACAAAGAGTGTACAAAAAGAAATAAACTCACTAACTGGAAAATTAGACAGGACATTCACTGTCACAGATGAGCTTATTTTTAGGGTAAAATTTTCATAATTTTCTTATACTTTTTTAGGAATATAATTAAAATTTGATAATTATATTCATTTGTGATGGTGTGGTTGAGCGGTAGATCACTATATGCTAACCCAAAAATTTTGAGTTTGGCTTCCGTGCGCCAGTCGTTAGAATGTCCCTGAGTCCACCCAGTGTTGATGGGTAACAGACTCACATTAGGGAAACAAAAAAGGCTGAGAATTGTGCTGACCACACTATCCCTTTGTATGCTGAGGTAATTGAAACAGATTAACTCTACTTCATCTGCCCCATGTGTCTTGTGCACGAACAGAAAGAAGATGATTAATTGTATACTTTAATATGAAGTTTTAACATCTAAATTATTATATTTTTAAAAAAAAATTAATTTTAGGATGCAAAGAAAGATGAAGCAATTAAAAAAGCTTACAGATTTTTGGCTGCACTTCATGAGGTATTTTCTGGTGTATTCAAAAAATGTTTTCTTCTTTTTTATTATTAGAACTTATGTGTTAATATATATTGAATTGATATAACATTGATTGATTTGTTTAGTTTGTAATTAAATAATTTTCCACTCTGCCTATACTTTTAAAAACTTTTTCTTTAGAGTTTTGAGCAATTGATTCAAACAGTTGAAGACACTGGTGTGGTTATGCGAGAAATCAAGGATTTGGAGGAACAAGTAAATAATTTGTTTTTGTTATTTCTGAAATTTTAAAACAAACAAAAGATTTCTAAAAAATAATTTTTAAAAAAAAGGTATAGTTTAAAGTGTGAACGCTTGTTAAACATTTGATATCATTACATATTTTAATTATGGGACGGAGTGGTCTAACGGTAGAGAGCTGGACTGCTAACCCGTAAGTCTCGAGTTCAAATTCGGGTTCAAGTCAGTAGACCGTCCCTGAGTCCACCCAACTCTGATGGGTACCTAACTCACGTTAGGGAAAGTAAAGGCGGCTGGGCATAGTGCTGACCACACTATCTCTTCATATGCCGAGGTCACAGAAACAAGTGAACTCTACTTCACTTGCCCCATACACCGTCAGGTTTGAAAGGGAAACTTTACTTTTACTTTTTACATATTTTAATTAACAACATTAATGGTTTATTTCATCAAAGATCTCTAAAAGCTGATAAGTGACAAAATATGCAATTTTAAAAATATGCAATAGCGGTTAAATGTTCGCTGATTATTTTATGTCAAAAAAACTGTTGGATACTTTCCTGACATTATTTGTAATATTGATTTATGTACACATTTAATAGGATAAAAAGGGGAAATAAATTTTTAATGCATATTTTAAAATAACAGATTGAAACAGAGAGCAACAAAAAAGTTTTGAGTAACCTGGAAAAGATATCTGCTGACTTGCAACAAATGAAAAAAGAAAATGCAGCTCTGCTGGCTAAAGTCAAGGGAAAATGAGTATTGTAGAAATTTGTTTAGATTTTTTTAATACTCATTTTGTATTTCTTTAATTACCTGAGTCCCTAAAAGAAATTGTACCAGTATTGTTTCTGCATTCCAGTATACTGCTGCAGTGATATAGTTCATTATGAACTTTTTAATATAAATATATATATGCTATTTATTTTGAATATGTTTTTGAAATGTTTGTATGTTTATTAATTGCATTTGGAGTGAGTATAATATCGTTCAAGTATTTTCAAGCTATAACTAAAACTAGTTTAAAAATTTGAAATAAGTCATTTAAAAAAATCAAGTAAATTTAATTACAGTAAGTTTAGTCTGCTGGTCTATTCTTTAAATGAAAAATAATCATTTTATTTCTTTTTCTTTTCTCACTTTATTTGGATATATTTAGAGATACAGTGAAATAAGACAAACATTAATTTTAAACTTTATAAAGACATGTATTTTTAATATTTTTAATGGCAATGTATTAAATAATAGCACTTTTATATAATTTGGAATGAAATGAACCACATTGAAATATGCTTAATATATGCCTAAAAAAAAGTAAGTTAGTCAAATAAGTTTGCTTACAATAATAACATTTAAGTACAAGTGTTGCAATGTGCAATATGTTAAAATTGTTTAATGAATTTGTATTTGATGCCTTGTTCTTGTTGTTCTAACATTTATGACTATGGCTGCGCATTTTACATGTGTTATAGCTTTTTGCTGGTTACAGTTTAAAGTGTTGTGTAGATTTAAATGAAACTTAAAAATACAGAGGTGCTTGTTTAAGTTGTCCCACAAAAAACCAGTTAACTTTATCTGAGACTCTTAATTAAGTAATTAAACTGTGCTAGTATTAATAATTAATCAAAACATTATGTACTTAAATATAAATCATTGCTTGTTTTTTTTTTTTTTTGTCTTTTTTTAATTATGTTCTTTTGTCACTTGAACTAATTTTTCTTTATAGATGAACATACCACACAATGTGGGTATTTTTCAAGTAGCGTAATTGTTAAATGTTATGTATGGACTGATATGTTATTGTACTTGGGAAATTCTTTTGTATAATGGTACGCCTATATTGAGTCGTTTCAATCAGTGGTGCTCACTTAACTTTGAGTATGAATGGAGCTGAGTCAACCTGCTCTTTAGCAGCTACAGTAATTTTTGGTTCAATCGATGCATTTTTTTATGTGTTCAATGCACTTATATCTACTTCTTATTAAGAAGTGTATATTCCAGCAAATAAACAGGTCTGTTTTGTTTTTTAATTTATTTGTGTGTATGGAATGCCTTAGAAATTTGATGAAACATTTTCAATTGTTTAATTTGGTCTTCCAATGTATAGTCAATACAATGATTTTATCTTACATGTTTTAAAAGACACTTTGATAAATAGACTATTACCATAGTTTAAGCATTTGTCTACATTATATTCAATAATTATCAGGTTGTAAAGCATTCATTGTTGATCAAATCATTTTATTTGTGGATATTAATTCAAATAATAATGTAGTTACCTTTCACATTCCTATGGAATAAAAATAGTAAAATAAAACAAAGGATTTGTATTCATTTTCTATACCTTATATTTAATTTTTTTTATAAATAACACACTAGCAAAATTTCTGAATAAAACTAAAGCTTGCAAAAATCTGCTGCTTATAAATTTACAAGATTTAAATCTAGTTTTATAACTATTAAAACTGTTGACAGCAAGATTTCTAGGAATTGGACGCAGGCAAAACTATCCAATTTAATGGTTAGTTAAAGTGAAATTCCAGGTATGCAAAAGCTGCTTACAGATGATAAGTCAACTATAGACCATCTAGCACATCCAATTATACTGTCCACACACATCTATGACTATAGTTTGATGCCCCCCAACCCAATTTCTGTGGACATAAAAGTTTTGCTATTCCATTAGCCTATATTATCTTGTTATTACACAATCAATTAAATTAATGACAAGCATAATTTAAATTACTACCTAGTATACCCTCACATGAAGCTGACATACTTCATTTTAGTATTACATTTTACTTCCAGATGCAAATTAAACTTGTTCTGTAACATTGCCCACATGTCATTTTGCTCATATCTTAGTTTTCTCCAATGAATTTAATTGAAATGACATTAATCTGTTCCAACAACCAAAATGCTATGTGTTGTTGTTAATGTTACACTTGATCCTTAAACTCAATTAAACTGAACCAAACTTCATAAAATTAATTGAACTTAAATGCTACTATACAATTTTTCTCTCCAGTGGACTTTGCCTGTATACTTTGGTAGCCATGCTTTCCAACTTTTACCTGCAGGCTGTTACAAGAAAGACCTGTCCAAGATTATTTGTATCTCACGTTTTCTTGTATTTCAAAGCAAAATATCACTTGCTCAAGTGCTGTTATTTTAAAAATCTTGTGTGTCAGGGCAAACATAAGTTGAGGTACCACAGTACCAGTAGCGTACGCAGGGGGGGAGCAGGGGGAGCGGCCGCTCCCCCTCTGGCCATTTTCAGCAAAGTGGCGCCTTTTTGGAAACTTTTTATACTCAAAGTTTTAAACAATGATATTTGTTAAAAAAATATTTTTGGTCGGCACATCTATGTAAATCACAAGATTTCTTTTCATGCAGCAATTAAGCATTATTGTACTTATCTAGTAGTGTCTACGTTTACAACACGTATTAACAGCTGCATCAGTTTGCCATCCTAAAAATAACCATTACGATGCATTGCAATGTTTAAAAAACCTCTACGGGTAGTACCATTTAGCAAGAGGGGTGTTAAGTTTAAGGCAACTGTATAGTGTATATGCTTACGAATAATTGAATTAGAAAATGTTATACATAAAACTTCACACATAATTACTTTATATATACAGTTTGAATCGTGTGATTATTTTTTTTAAAATTACAATACAGAAACAAATACAACTGATGTGGCACCTCTATTTAAATTTACTTATGAGCAAACTGCGTAGTGGTGGGCAAATTCTGACAAGGTCAACATCGTCATCACGATGAAGTAGTAGTATTCTTACAGTTTGGGCGATAGTGATTACGATTACAAATTATATGAAACAGTTACAACCCCCCTCCACCATGGACCCCTCTGTAAAAAAAAATATTTTCATAATACCACTGCTACTTATTAAAATCTATTTCTGTAATATATATTTGTGAAATATATATTAGTGTAATATATATTTGTGTAATATATATGAATGTTTAGAACAGTCATCTAAAAACTGACGCTATTTTCACTCTGAGTTGGTTATCCCCCCCCCCCCCTTCCACACACACCTCACCACCACAATTGTGTAGAGCGACATTAAAGTCACTCCTAGGTATACACTGGGTTGGATAATTGGCCTAAAGTGACCGGACAGTGGTAAATGAAGTTGAACCCCCCCCCCCCCCCTTCCACACACACCTCACCACCACAATTGTGTAGAGCGACATTAAAGTCACTCCTAGGTATACACTGGGTTGGATAATTGGCCTAAAGTGACCGGACAGTGGTAAATGAAGTTGAACCCCCCCCCCCCCCAAACCCACCCCGAACTGATCTGTTAAGTACATGTATAATAACTCGTAATGATGTACCAAAGTACCATGCCGCTAGAAAATTAGCTTTTTAAACGTAAAACTCTGTGAATATTGTTTTTGCAATTACCAGTAAAAAGGTGTGTGAGCAATACAGTTATCTAACCCATACCTATCACTATGTTAAAAAATGATCTTTAAAGAACACAAAGAAGCAGTAGTTAATTAAAAATATATGATCTGAACTAAAAGACCAGTATTTAGTTAAATGTAGGCTGTTATTTCGAATGTTGTTATATTACATCGGAAAGCGTGCTTTTATACCAACTCTGATTTTAAAAACTTTCGTTGTGCTATAATACTTTAGCATTTATGATGACGATATATTAAATTCTGATTATAGACAAAACCATTTTGTAAACACGAATAGTGTTAAACAATTTCATTATATTCTAAAGAAATTATTTATTTGTTTTGACATTTCTAATTAAATGTGTAAATATATACATATTTATATTAAGAGAGTGATTATTTCCCCTATTTCACTTGTCTTAAATAATTTCCCAGGAATTATTATGTAAGAATTTTTTTTTCAAGAATTACAAAACAGATTGTGTTACGTTCATTGTTTTTGGTTGTAGTGTGTGTATATTTTTTTTTTGTTTAGATTGATACAATTTTTGTTTTGTCGGCCTACATTGTGTGTTTTTTCTTATTTCTTCAGAGTGCTACCTGCAATTTATTTTACATCATAGCGAAGTAATGACATACAGCTAGCAATTATATATATATATATATATATATATATATATATATATATATATATATATATATATATATATATATATATATATATATAATACACGTATACAGCACGTGTTAAAAATTCGGCGCCTTTTTTTGCTCTTTTCGCTCCCCCTACAACGAAAACCTGGATACGCCTCTGCACAGTACTGAGGGATTTTTAACATTCCCATTATAAGTTTGACCTGATACCTGTCTGTCTGTCTATTTACATATATATATATATATATATATATATATATATATATATATATATATATATATATATATATATATATATATATATATGAAAGGTTGGTGTCATGGGTGTTAAAAAAATAGAGACCTCTCTCAACCACAGATGACAATCATTTATTTAAACGGATGATTAGAGATAGCAGTGTCCGATAATGGAATCTTCTTTAAAAAAGGGGTGTTGGGTTGTTAGTAGTATTGTAATCTCGACTAATTTTATGGTAAGAAATTAAGGTTAGGCGTATGGTAGGCCCAGGGTTAGGATTAGGGACAGGGTTAGCAGTGACATTAGCCAGCCATGTGTGCATTTAGTTAACTACCAGTAACCTAACACCCCTATTTTAAAGAAGATTCCATTATCGGACACCGGTGTAAACATTCTCCCTAAGAACATTAACAATAATTAACATTGCTAATACAAATACATTTTAGGTCCTATTTATTTTAATTTTTCAACAATTGTTATGTGCAGTTAATTTGCAACATTTCAATAAATTTTATCTGGCAAAACTGCAGTAGAGTAGTCTCCCTTGGTGTTTCTTCCGGTTAATTCATGCCTGCTACTTATCTTATTTAAATATCATCTAAAATCTAAACGGATAAAATGTTTAAAAAGTGAGTCTAATTTAAGAACATAATGAGTAATAAAATCAATATTTTCTTCCAGAAACATTTTCTGATCCTGGAGCTTAATACTCATCTAATGAATTACTAACATATTTTGTATTTTTAGAAATAAGACGCAGGTTGAGGTTATCGATGTACGACCGTAACGATGGCTGAGCGAGTCATAGATAGATCTAGATCTAATACCAAAGATAAAACTTGAACAAACTTTGACTAGATTCTAGATCTAAAGATAGTACTAATTATTAGTAAATATCTAGATTAGATTTTAGATAGATCTAGAATTTCTAAATGTTTGGTCAAGTATGGTAGACCTAAGACATAAGTCCTAAGAAAGAAGTTTCGGGAGAATTTTTATACCAATATGTCCGATAAGGGAATCTCCTTTTAAAAAAGGGTGTTAGGTTACTGGTAGCTAATGTCAATGCTAACCCTGTCCCCAACCCCAGTCTTAACCATATGCCTAACCCTAATTTCTAACCATAAAATCATAAAATGAGTCGAGATTACAATACTACTAGTTACCAGATCTAATACTAACAACCCAACACACCTATTTAGTATTTATATAAAATTTTATGGAAGAGTCTCTTATCGGACATCGGATTCTAAAAATCATTCAGTCTATGTAAAATCTGCCGTGCTGATTGTGTACAAATATTCAATATCACAAAATGCAAAAATATAAAGTTCAAATTGTGATGTGCCACACCCCCTACTACAGTAGGCCTATTACAATTAATTTTCAAATTTGTATTACATATTTGAGTAAGTTTAAGCATGTTTAATTATGTTTTTATGGAGGTCACATGCCAAGTACTAGTAAAGACTAATGAGTAAAGACTCAGTAAAGAGTTTTTCCTTCAGTAGAGAGTGTACAGGCTGACCCTGTTTAAGTGAGTTTCTTCAGAAAGTTAATGTAGGCCTATGCTAAATTGACTTAGTTTACTATTGAAAAATGGATTGCCAATAATTTTTTGGTAAATAAATAATTTTGGAGTTTTCATCAAAATGCCTACATATGTCTAACCCTAATAAAAACCATTACTAGTCCAGATTGATAAAATTCATTCTCTTTTTGACTTTTTTCTTGTGGATTTGCTAGTAAATATTGTAACACTAGGGAGGTCTACACTTATAACACCAGTTACTGACATTGCACAATAAGATGTTGGAATGGGGGGAGGTAGTTGCTTAAGCTGGATGCCAAATTAGGGGGTATAAATCAGGGGTTTGACTATATGTTAAGTGGAAATAATGAAATACAAAAAATGCTACCAAAACCAAAAGAAATAAGTAACAACCTTAATGGTATAGTTTTTTTTAATCATTTTGCTAATTTTTCTTTTGTGTACAAAATGGAGTCAGGGTACAAATTTATACGGATTTAAAACTCCTTAAATTTTTATCTCATCAACGTACCCTATCATCTTTTCTTGTTTAGATTTGATGACAAGGAAAATGTTGGTAATACTAACATTGCAAAGTCATCAGTACAGAAGGGCATTAGAAATCAGATTTTAGAACAGTTTCAACACATAGATGAATACCTTGATCAAATAATGCCAAAAAAGGAACCCTTAAAACTCGTGAAATGGTAAGAAGCATTGTGAAGAATTAAAGTCTAATCTTTAAATACTTTAATACAGCATTCAAATTTAACAATTTAATATTGAGATTCAGTTTATTGATCCTCACTGTTAATTTTACAAATGTGATTATACACTAATGTATCATACTTCAAGTTTATACTTTTATTGATATGCATGTCTTTAAGTTTTAAATAATCAAAATTAACCATACATTAAGTTACCTACACATTTCTTTTGTGCAGTCATGAGCATATTGAATTGTTGAGCAACCAAGCTGGAGAAGTTCTTTTTTTCAGACAGAGGGAAGGCCCCTTGTATCCATCACTTAAATTGTTACATAAATGTGAGTATTTTTTTAAATGTCTTAGAATCTTTTTATTCTTTTACTCGATATATTTTAAGTATTGTTAAAAAATACTAATTTTATATTTAATTTTTTTTTTCTTTTACTTCTTTGCTTAGATCCCTTTATTTTGCCCCACATGCAAGTAGACAAAGGAGCAATCAGGTTTGTTCTCAGTGGCGCCAACATTATGTGTCCTGGTTTGACATCACCTGGTGCTCGCATGACCAAAGTTGATAAGGATCAGATTGTTGTATCCTTGCCAATAGTTAATTATATTTGAGCATGAATATATTTAATCTATAAAAAAAAAGATTTTGATTACTTATAACTTGAGACCAAAAAAATTCACATGAATTCACTCAGTGATTAGCTTGAATAAGTCCACACAAAAAAATCTGTGTATTTTTACTACCTACGTAAATCGTAATTGCATATATAGTTAATATAGACTGCAGATCTTGTTTCTTATGGCAATTAGAATTAGAGCATAGTTATTCTTTAACTTAAATTTACACTAGGCAATAATGGCTGAAGGAAAGCAGCATGCTTTGGCTGTTGGGCTCACAAAAATGTCTACTGAAGAAATGTAAGTCCATTTTACTAATATCTGAAATGTGTGGCCATGATTTGTTCCAATACTAAATTTCATTTTCGAAGAAGCAATTTTTCCATATGTAAATATAACAATTAATTATGTACTTAGGTAACACATCATGTACATTGTCAAAAATTGATTTTGCAGTTTATCAAAAAATAAAGGAGTTGGTGTGGATAATATACACTTCTTGAATGATGGACTCTGGCTGATGAAGCCCTTGAAATAACATCTTCATTATGTATGATAGAAATTTTTAATATTTCAATGTACATACATGTTCAAAATGACTGAGGATACATTCAATTTTTTGTGGTTATCAGATAAAATGATATTGTTGATTAGTGATATTCTAAAGCATAAAGGGATCTGAAATTTAAAAAGCTGTATGAATTGGGAGTTAGGGTATAATAAATCTAAAATGATCAATACCACTGAGGTAATGTTACTATTAAAATGTACTGTAATTTTTGTGTCTGTTCAGCTATTAAGCATTATTGTGCGATTTATAAATGGATATTTATGACATTGTCATAATGGTAAGAAATTAAACTTTGTGGATAAATGACTGTTCTTTTGGGATTAAAAATGTGCATTTTATTATTTTGGATAAAATCCACATTTTGTTTAGATTGCATGTTTTTGGAATGAATGTTTATTTATTGCTACTAGTTGTATTGTCAGACTTGATTTTACCAATTAAAAAATGTGTGTTTTATTATTGTTGTTGTCATCTTTTTAGATTATTTTAGTTGTAATAGTATTAACATGTACTATTTTATTTTTTTAAGGAACTACAAATATGAAATTATTGATTCACAAATACAATAATTTAATAGTTATTGCAGTATATAGAAGTAAATAAATTGTGAAAGCAATTAATGTTAATAATACCTCTTATGAAATATGTAGGCCTATATGGCTTTTTTAAATTGATTGTGAATACATAACTGTAAACAGTAAGCTTAAAGTTAAAAGTCACAAGTAAAAGCCATCTTAATCTTAAACCAAAAGAAAATTTATTACACAATCACAAAATATTATTTATATATATATTTCATCATCTTTTCCCATTTGGAGCCCAAGGCACATGTGGCAGATGAAAAGAGTTTGTTTCAATGACCTCGGTATAAGAGTGGTCAGCACTACGCCCAACAACCTTTACTTTCCCTAATGATACTTTAACTTACTTTAAGTAGAAATAGGAGAAGATGTACAAGCAAGAAAAAAGGCAGATATAGGATTAGACCACCATCTGGTGGCACTGAGCTAAAAATAATGATTAACTTTTTGCTGCTCTGCAATCAGATGAAAGTGAGGAAAAACCATAGACAAAATGTGGGATCATTTCATAGGAACTATCTCAAACATGTAGTGAAGTATTATGCCCTTCACCTAACAACAAAATAACAGTCACAGTGGATTAGCGAAGAGACATGGCAAGGAAATGAACATATTAAAAAAGCTACCGGTAAACCTAGCTAGAAAGCACAAACAACAAACTAGGCAAAAAATATCACCCAGACTCGAAAGAGGCCATAAAAATGCAGAGGAAAGACGAGCGCACCTTTTGCGTAGAAGAAGCAGTGGAGAAAGGAGATATTTCTAGATCTAATTTATTAAACAAAATGATCTTCTAATTACTAAACTCTTGAGTGGCAAAAAAAGCCATTTAAACAAGGTAAACTACTTTCCTCTATAGATGATTAACTTTAGAGATGGAAAGAGAATTTTCGAGAAGTAGCGTACTTAATAGACCCCCCCCCCTCTCTCATCTAACAACAGTAAATACTCTACATTAAATATGGAACTTAGTATTTAGCCTACTCCAGCGGACCTGGGCTAGTTTGTTATCTAGGTAACGGTGTCATCCAATAACTACGTCATACTGCTAGGTTGGAGGGGAGGTAAAAAAAAATAATGACGTTTTTTTTTTCCCCCTTGGTCTTAATTGCCAGGAAAAAATAGAAAGTCAACGTAAAAATAAGTTTAAGCAGTCTGGTAATAAGTTACTTCTGACGATGAAATTTTCTGTTCACATTAAAATTTTCAAACCTCTGCCGCTAGCAATTCTTTATTTCTCAATGGAAAATTTAAGAATATGAGATATAGACAGTAACCCTATTATATATTATTTATAAGCAACAAACATAGGCTTAGTGCATCAGCAGTATTATATATAAATCGTCGTGCGGCGTCAATTCGGCCAATCACGAAACGACCCCGTCAAATCGGCCCCGTCAAAAGGGCCAGCGACATATGGACCCCGTCAAATAGGCTCCCGACGAATAGGCTCCCGTCATTTAGGCTACCGACAAATAGGCTCCCGTTATATAGGCTCCCGACAAAAGGGCTCCAGTCAATAAGGCTCCTGACAAATAGGCTCCCGTCATTTTGGCTCCCGACATATAGTCTCCCGTCATTTAGTTTTTTCCACAAAACGGCCCCCGTCATTACGACTCCCGACAAATAGGCTCCCGCCATTTAGTTTCTCCACAAAACGGCCCCCGTCATTACGACTCCCGACAAATAGGCTAGCGTCATTTTGGCTCCCGACAAAAAGGCTCCTGTCAATTTGGCTCCAGACAAAAGGACCACTGACACAGTGGCGTAGCTACCGTAAAGCTAGCGTAAGCAAGGCATGGGGGCCCAAGGCACATAGGGGCCCTTTTGCCTCATAAAAAATTAAAACTTTTACAATGGAATTTTAATATTTGTTACATATAAATAATTTTAAAAAAGAAAAAGGTTAAAAGTTCCAAAAAGCCCCCCCCCCCCCCCCCACCGTTTCGGCGGTGGGATTCAGTGTTTGTGGGTCAAACAGAGCCCAATCGTTATAATAACACTACAGGCTATATCACTTTGTCGTGCAAGACATTGGGAGAATCAGCCTATAAATAAACTTTTTAGCAGTAGTAGGAAAGCATAATAATATAGTATAAATACAAAATCAGGACATATAAAATACAAAATGTTGCCTTCAGAATATTTATATATTAAAAAATATCCATCGTAAGTAGAAGTTGATCTCTTCGTTTAACTCCTCTGTAGCCTAACGCAGAGGCGTAGCGAAGGCGAGGTGGGGGGTGCGGACCGCAACGGGTGACACCATTTAGGGGGGGGGGGGTGACACCAAAGGCAAAAGATTGTAAAATTTATAGAATGAAATGCCATTTTCCAGATCCGTTAGTTAAAGTTAAATAGTCTTCTAAGTACAAATCGAAAATTATATCAAGAGGGAGGGGGGGGGGGGGGGGGGGGGGGTGTGACACCACGACGTAAACGTAAACTATAAAGAAAACAATGCTACATCCAACTGTATTATAAACAGACTGTAGATAAACATCGTTACTATTAAGTCAGCAGTGATTAAAGCTTAAACACGTACGTGTACCAGTATGTGGCATATATATAAATTTTAGGCCTATGTAGGCCGACACACACACACACACATATATATATATATATATATATATATATATATATATATATATATATATATATATATATATATATATATACACACACACACATATATATATATATATATATATATATATATACACACACACACACACATATATATATATATATATATATATATATATATATATATATATATATATATATATATATATATATATATATATATATGCTTTGTTTCCTGGGAGGGGGTGACAATACGAAGTGCCGCACCAGGTGAGACCCGACCTCGCTACGCCACTGTGCTTGTAGGTTATCAAAACAAAATGCTGTTATCATGTTAACATCATGTATATCATACATTTACACTTCTGTGCTCGCTTTTAAGCAACAGATCTTTTCTGTTGTAAATTAAACATTATCAAAACTTTAGAATTGGTGGAATTTAGCTGTTAAGGGCTCGATTTGTTTGTGAATTAATGTTGGTTCATGAAAAAATAATTTCATTCGGGCATTAAAAAGAGGTTATGGCGGTAATGGAGGTAGGACACAATGGTTACTTGTATGCCAATAGTGGTCATATCATTCATTTTTCTGGAGCCAATATGTCGGGAGTCATTTTGTCAAAAGCCAATATGTCGGGAGCCCAATTGCCGGGAGCCAATATGTCGGGAGCCCATTTGTCGGTAGCCAAAATGTCGTGAGCCCATTTGCCGGGAGCCCATTTGTCTTGAGCCCTTATGTCGGGAGCCAATATGTCGGGAGCCGCTTTGTCGGGAGCCAATATGTCCTGAGCCTATTTGTCAGGGGTTAATATGTCGGGAGTCCATTTGTCGGGAGCCTAAATATCGGGAGCCCATTTGTCGGGAGCCTATATGTCGCAAGTCAATATGACGGGAGCCCATTTGACGGGAGCCAATAAGTCGGGGCCCTTTTGACGGGGTCGGTTTGTCGGGAGTCGATTTGACGGGGTCGTATTAGCGGGGCCGTTTTGACGGGGCCGATTTGTCCCGGGCCGTTTTGACAGGGCACCATAAATCGTATTTGGTAATATAGTAGTCCTAGGCCTGCATCACTATTCATAAATAATAATATTAATATTACTGGTTTTTTAAAGTAATTTTAAAACATACTTGCTTCACTCAGTCATTCAGAATGTCTAGGCCTAGTTGTGAAACTGGTAGACTAGAAACTAGAAACACTATAATTATTCCAGAAACTTTCACTTTCGGTTTAGAATCGAATTTGTTTACAAACGAAAACATTCATCATAGTCACGATTGTGAACCATTTCACAATAGTTCTTTTACTAAATTACCATAACATCTATTAAATAGATATGATACTTTATAAATATAGAGATCTATCTAAGTTTAATATTTAAGCATCAAGAAGGTAAGTAAACTTTACAGCCTCCTTAACTAGATGTTTTAAAATATTTGATTTATAGTAGAACTACTAAAATTTTGTAAAAATTATTACAAAAATGATCACACCTTTTACTTATAATTATAAGGGGCATCATTAAATGACGTAATGCATTGTTTAAAACCAGTTTCCCTCCCCCATCGTCGTAAAAAGCTAGACCTGCAACGTGAAATGACGTCACACCTCAGCCTAACTACCTTTGCAGTTTGTTTTTTTTAAACATCGATTTCTTTTTAAACAATATATATATCTCCTGAACTCCTGTTGTATTCATCAATTTCTATTTCAATTTAATAAAACTAGTAAACAACAGCCTTTTAAAAACGCAAAATAATTGCTAAACTACCCTCCCTCCTTTGATAAAAGAAAAGATCCCTAATTGATTATATTCAAATATTTAAGTTGAATGGGCTACCCACAGTGCACTCCACCAGTAAATTAATAGACAATCTGCCCAAGTGAAAGGCAGGCTTAGGCCAAACAGGGATTGATCCACCTTCAGCACATGAGTAATATTGTTGACATGGGAGATAATTTTTTTGTACATTAAAATAATACCATTATCTAGCAGTAGTAGTTAATAGTGAGTGTTGTGTTCTGTAAAAAAGAAGCACCATCAGTTGAATTAGCTAAGAGTAAATAGGTTTATAGGTCCATTCATAAATGATAAGCAGTGTTACCCAAACCTTTTTGGCTTATTACTCCCTGAAAGAAACTGAAAATATAAAATATTCCAAAATGCTCTCCCCTCCACCTAATCTGCATGTAGGCTAAAAGGCTACCTATGTCACTAGTGAGGTTAGGGGATGCACCTGACAGAAGTTCTTGTGGAATCAATAATAACAAACACAAGTTCAATTCACAGATATATTACATTTATATAATTACACATACCTATCAACTTGCATATATATATATATATATATATATATATATATAATCATGAGCAGAGTAATGCAGAGATATATGCTTGCATCTAGGTGTTTTCTGTTGTCTTGATCATAGCTTTTGAGTCTATGGAAGATGGAGTCCACATCCGTTGTAGGTCTGATGGGCATTTATTCAACCTTGCCTGTCTTAAGGCAAAAGCAAGGAGAAAGTGTGACCTTATTAGTGAGCTGTTTATTGCTGATGACGCTGTGCTTACCTCACATATGCAAGAAGGACTACCAAGACTTGTAAATGCTTTGGCAGACACGTTGAGATTTTGGCTGACGATTAGCTCAAGCAAAACATAAACTCTTTAAAATTTAAATTAGCATAAAAATCTCTCACACTTGTGCAGGACAGGAATTTACTTACATGGGCTCAACCATCACCAGTAACCTCTCGCTTAACAAAGAGATATCAAAGAGAGTGGGCAAGGCAACTGCTGCAATGGAAAAATTCTCCAATTGCTTGTGGGAGAATATAAAGATGCTGGTGTATAATGCCTGCATAGTGAGCACTCTGCTCTAGGGCAGTGAGTGTTGGACAACTTAAGCACATTAGAAACACAAACTGAACACCTTTCATATGCGCTGCCTACTACACATCCTGAGTGTCTCACGGGAAGACCGCGTCTCCAAACAAGACATCTTAAAGCAAGGTAACTCCCTTAACGCCTAGGGAATGATAACCATGAGAAGACTGTGGTGGCTAGATAGTCTACACATGCCTGATGACCAAATCTCAAGACATCCTCTATGGAGATCCTACCAATGGTACAAGACCCAAGAGATGATCCCTGCTGAATTACAGAGGTGTTTACAAACAGAACGTGAGGCAAACAGACATAAATGAACACATGTGGGAGCTGTGTGGACTGGCATCCTTGTCGTTGAAAGAAAAATGTCATAGGTAGCCTCTGGGAGGAGAAAAAGGAAAAAAATCTGCCCAAAGGATACCTTCAACAATGATTGGCAATAATTGTAACAGAGATGGCCAATATAGAATTGGCATGATCAGTTACAACACAGCCTGCACTAAAAGAACATGACAACATCTCTGGGTGCACATCCATTGTCTCACAACACATGAGGAGCCAACTATATATATTTATAAATAAGCTATTTGCAATTATATATATTTTTTAACAGTACTAGATCGGTCTTACATTAAATATTTTATAAAAAGAAATGTAATTGAATCATTTGTTTAAAAGCCTGTAATCAAATTTTGGTATTAGCCATTTTAAGTGGATTTAAATTTCCATCCCTCATTTGTAACAACTTTTGTAGTTTTTTCTTGCAGTTTGGGGGAATGTTCTGTGTTTGAACTTAAAAATGATAAAAAATTATACTCAACATAATATACTCATTTTTAAAAATATTTTCAAATCGTTCATGAAAGTCAAATTAAAGATCATTTAAGTGCTGACAATAGATAAATATGTCTTTATCATTTTTTAGCAAGATTGAATAAATTCTTTGCACTATTGAAAGCTAACCAGCTTATCTATGACACAACAAGCAATGCATTTTTTCACAAAGGACATAGAGTAGATAAGAAGATATGTAGAATAAAGTATTGTAACACTCAAATGTAAATCTAAATTAAATTTGCATGGAATCAACAACAATAGGGTTTGCATTGTATTGGTAGTAAGCATAGCAGACAGTTGAGCATTCTTGTTTTGTTCTACTTAAACTGTTATAAATATAAAGTTAGGTGATTCTGCTTTAATGAAATATAGATATAATTAAACAGGCCTAAGGTTTTCTTTTGTATTTGACAATTAATTTTGGTTCTTACTCTTATACTCAAGTTATACTTATATATTTAAAAATAATGTAATTTTAGTTTAACATTAGCTTGCATGACTACTAAAATTTATTTGGTCTCTGCAGGACTATGATTGGTCCTTACCTATAGCATATGCAGTCCCCGCTTTTTATGCACCCCCCACCTCCCATCGTACTGAACGATTCTATTCCCACTCCCCAAAGACCATCCCAGCATTTCCCAAGGGACAATATCAACTTGAGAAGCATTGATCTATAGTATTCTATAGCTAATCATTTTTCACCAAGGAAACATTTTAAATTTTGAAGAAAAAAAAAATATTGCTTTGTTTAATAGATATTTGTCATAATGTATATTTTACAGTGAAAGGAAATAGTTAAGAATGTCAACTGTAGATTTACTTGGAATACAGGGCATTCGAAGTTTTGGTTGTGAGGAAGCTGACATTCAGACAGTTCCATTCTTTAAGCCATTAACGCTTATTTTTGGACCCAATGGCACTGGCAAAACTACAATCATAGAATGTTTGAAATACGCAGCCACTGGGGATATGCCACCCGGAACTAAAGGACCAGGAGGAGCTGCATTTGTTTATGACCCTAAGCTGGCTAAAGAAAGTGAAATTAAAGCTCAAATAAAGATGATGATAAGGGACATAACTAGAAATTCTTGCAAAGTGCAGCGTTCACTGTCTGCAAGAGTAAGGGACACTGAGGGTAAAAAAGTGGAAATTAAGACATTAGATGGAGAACTTACAAGGTTCACCTCCAATGGTGAAAGACAGTCAATTGCATGCAGATTCTCTGACTTAAACAGAGAGATGATTGGAGCCCTGGGTGTATCAAAAGCTGTTCTAGATAATGTGATATTTTGTCACCAAGAAGATTCAAACTGGCCATTGAGTGAAGGAAAGGCCCTGAAGGAGAAATTTGATGCCATCTTTGCATCAACTAGATACACAAAAGTTTTGGATGCAATAAAAAAGTTAAAGCAGTCTCAGGATCTAGAAATTAGGGAAGGAAAAAAGGAAATGGATTATCTTAAGCAGCATAAATCCAAAGCTGAAGAGCTGGAAAGAGATCTAGAAGATTTGCAAGTTAAACTTACTGCTTCAATTGAAAGTGTAAATAATATTACTGAAGAGTTGAAGCCAGTGAAGGAGCAGCTAACTACAATCGGAACTAGACAAAATGACATATTTAAACTGGATACAGAGAAACAAAAATTAGTTAGTGAACAAAGTTATCTTGAAAAAAGTATTGAAGACTTAATGCTGAAAATAAAAGAAGAGTTTCAAGGAACAACTGCTGAGCTGAAAAAAACAATACAAGACTTTACCTCCCAGCTTGAAGAGAAACAGGAAGAACTAGATCAACAAGAACAAGAGCAAAATAAAATAAAAAGCGAGATTGAGAAATTGATGAAAGAAAAGAGTACTTTAATGATGGAAAAAGGAAAACTTGAAAAGGAAGCCGAGATTCAAGAGACCAATATCAAAAGACGAAATAAAAAGATATATGAAGTAGCAAAGGCTTATACTTTTGAGGGTTTGGAAGAGGACGTAGAAATCAATGATGCAAAGTACAGACTGTTCTTTGAGCTGATTAAAGATAAATTAAGTTCTATGATGGATGAAGGGAGAAAGAAAAAGGCTGAATTTGAAGATACAGAAAATCAGCTGCAAGTTAAGGTTGACAAGTTGAAAGAAACAAAAACAAAACTGGAACATGGTGAGAAAATGAAAAATGAAACAATTGAAAAAAACACAAAAGAAATCAAAGAAATAAATCAGAAACTAAGCCAAATGGCTGCCTCTGAAGACAAACTGGCAGGTCTAGGTCTTGATTTAAAAAGAGCAGAAAATGAATTGCATGCTATTGAAAATTCTTTAAATCCAGATGATATAAAAAAGGAGATATTGGATCTCGACAGACAGAAAAAGCAACTAGATGCCACATTGAATGAACTGAGCACAGAGTTAAATAAAATAACAAAGCAGTCTGGGATTCAGACACAGCTAGACATGTTGATTGCCAACCAGCAAGAAAAAGAATCAACTATTGAAAGGTTAAGAAACGAGCACAAAGATAGCATAGAGAGTGTTTTAGGTCACATACCTATGGATAACTTGAGGGAGAGTGTCAGTGATTACATAAGTAACCAAACAGATAACGTTAGGAAATGCAATACTGTACTTAGTGAGTGCAAGGCACAGCTTTCAAAAAAGCAGGCAGAGAAAAATGCAGCCACTGATCAACTACGCCAGAAGGAAGATGACTTGAGGGCATCAAAAGACAAAATTCAAGACATATGTGAAAGTCAGGACTTGGATGAGGAATTTAATGAGGTGCAAAGAAATCTAACACAGGCTCAAGAAGAAAAGGGTTCCCTTCTTGGTGCTGATCATATGATCAAGAAATACATAAGGAAACTTGAAAAAAATAACCCATGCTGCCCATTATGTAAGAGAGGGTTCCAACAGGTACAAAAAGCCAGGGAGCTTATTCTTAAACTACAAGAAAAGTTGCGTAAGGTACCCATAAGCCTAAGGAAAGCTGAAGAGGATATGGAAAAGTACCAGAAAAAATATGATGATATCATGCAGCTGAGACCAATCCAAGAGAATGCAGATAAAATCCAAGACATAGAGATTCCAAATATCAAGGAAAAAATTGAAAAGTTAGATGAAGATATAAAGCAAATTAAAGAAAATCTCCAGACAAAAGAAGATGAGTTCAGCATACTTGAAAACAGTCTACAAACTGCTAAAAGCTTTGAACCTGATGTTATTGATATGGATTGCAGACAAGGGGAAGTAAGAGAGCTACAAAGGAAAATTGAAGCACAAAGAGCCTTGCTGATTGGTGGTGTTTCTGGTAGAACAACAGATGTTGTAATGCAGCAGAGAGAAGAAAAGCAACTTGAATTAGAAACCATCAACAGAACTCTGGACTTACGCAGGGATAAGTTAAGTGAATATCAAGAACAAACACAAAAAATGAGAAATAAAGTTCACACTCTTCAGGCTGAGAAGTTATCAATTGAAGGAAATTTGCAGCAAAAAATTAAGTTTGAAGAAAGAAGAGCCACATTGACAAGTGAAAATAAAAACTTTCAGCGTGATATAGATGAGGCACATACACAACTGAAACCCATAGAAAATCAGATTAAAAAGTTGATTGAGGAAAAAGCAGATGTTAGTAAAGAAAAAGAAATGATGATGGAAAAAGTAAAAGCAGATGTTGATATTGTTAAGAAGAATGGAACTGATGTGAGGAATGTAAATACAGAAATTAAAAGTTACAATGATTCTGGTAAATCTGAGAAATTAAAAAACTGTATAAAGAAAGAGGAGCAACTGGAAAGTTTCCAGAAGAAGCTTGAAGAAAGGCTAGACAATGTCACTGCCAAAGTAAAACAGTTACATAATGACATAAGTAACCAGCAGATGTGTGAGAGGGAACTGCAAGACAATCTTCAGCTTCGCGACAACCAGGAAGAGCTAAACAAACTGGGTGCCAAAATTGAAGAACTGAAAGGAAAACTGGTAGGTTTTGACATGAGAAACTTAGAGCAAGAGAGGCAAAAACTGATTCTCAAAGAAAGAGAGTTAACTCAGAAGCAAAGTAATGCTTTTGGACGGCAGCAAGGTTTTAAAGATCAAATCAAAGCAGTGACCAAAGACTTAGGCTCTGATATGTACAAAGATGCACATCAGAAGTACAAATCCAAGATCATTGAAATAAAAACCACAGAGATTGTGAATGCAGACTTACAGAAGTATTATGGAGCTTTGGATAAGGCTATCATGATGTAAGTAAATACATTTACAAAACTTATATTCAAATACCTAATTTAAGCAGTAAAAAGAAATATGTTGAAAGTCTTGAGCTATTAGGCCATACAAACTTTTTTATTATCTGGAATTAGTTTTGTTACTTAAAGACTTGAAATATTCACTGTAACAGTAATTAATATCTTTATTATAAGGTACCACAAATCCAAGATGGAGGAGATCAACATTATTATCCGTGAGTTATGGAAAAATGTGTACAGGGGAAATGATATTGAGACTATTGAGATCCAGTCAGAAGCAGATGATGGACCAGCAACTAGTACAATAAAGGCAAGGAGGAGCTACAACTACAGAGTTGTTATGATAAAAAATGGTATTCCTATAGACATGAGGGGAAGATGCAGTGCTGGTCAAAAGGTAAATTTGGTTTCCGTATTTCAAGCAAGTTGGCCTATATTAGTTTATTTTCAGCTTAACTGTGCTAAAAGGATTATTAAATATCAGATATGCGAATATATTTTTTAAAATATGGAGCTTTATTTTTTTAATTACTTTTATTGGATAGTTATAACTATTATTAACATCCATATAAAATTCAGCAGTGCTAGTCAAAAGGTCAATTTTTTTGCTCATTTTTTCCTGTATATGTTGTTTATTTAATAAGCTAATTTTTTCTATATTTTGTTTAAAAATGCACTTGAATATTATGGTAAACTAATGTATTACACATTTACTTTTTGTTTTGTTTTTCTTAAATGATTTTATGCAGTGTTAATCTGACTACTTGTCAAATGTCAGAATTGTCTTTTTCTTCTAAAATTTAACATGACTAATATCTGCATAGTACCTGCCATGCGCATTACCTCTTTTATTAGCCTGGTAATGATGGCTGCCAAAAACGACGATACAGTGATTCCGTTTTTTTAATATTTCATGGTCATTTTAGAAATATATGATAACAATAGTTATTTTTGCATATTATTCAACCATACTTGTCTAGTTTTAACAATGGATGATTAGTGTTTGATGCAAACTTGCCATTTGTACATTGTTTTGGTCTAATCGCTGAGAATATCAAGCTGAACATAATAAAAGTAAGAAAAACATTAATTGCTTTATTTAATACTGTTCTAAGCATACTGAAAAAATATTCTAAACTATAGAAAATTATAACTTGCTTTCTACTAAACTAATGTCATTAATGTTTTAAAAATCATGCAGGGTAAAAACGCAAAACCTATTAAAAATAACTTGATCGAGACAACAGCTAACTAAGCCATCCCATTTTGCCCGCCATGTATTTGAATGGCCATGTATTTGAATGGGGATAAATCGAGTAGACAACACATTTCTGTTGAAAGTCAGTGAACAGTCAATTGTGTCACAACAACACTCCTTAAAAAACTAACCCACTGTATCACTGAAAATCAGTCATATCATCGTAGCCATTAAAAAACAAACAAATTTTTTCACAAATCATTTTCTAGGCTACCAATTAAGTTTGATAAATAAAATTGGTATCAAATTTAAGGTAAATAAATTTAATTTTTTATTGTTTAAGTCATCTTGAACAATAATGAAGTTAAAAATCTTAGGCAACACCCTATCTTTTATGGAGGGCAAGTATTAAGTAAAGTACCTTTTCAGACCTTAAGTTCACCATGTGCACATGAGATTTTGTGCGCTGAGCTGCCTTTACTTTTGCAAAGTCAGGTACCCATTAAAGTAGGGCAGACTCAAGGACATAGTCCAATGGACTTGAGAATTTGTATTTACGAAATTAACGTATAGGCTATATTCTTCTATTTTAGGCACTAGCATCACTCATAATCCGCTTAGCATTGGCTGAAACATTCTGTGTAAACTGTGGCATCCTGGCTTTAGATGAACCCACCACAAATTTAGACAGAGCCAACATTGAGAGCTTGGTTCTAGCTCTAGTTGAGTAAGAAGGACTACAATTTTATCAACACATTTACAAACATTTAGTATTAGACTAGACAGTCCAAAAATTACTGGATTGATTAAATTACAAAATACCACAAATTTTTACTTAAAGGCATTAAGTTGAAGCTAGCTTTCTTTTATGATATCTATTTCCTAAGAAAATATAATTATATTGTAACAGGTTTCTAAGTGCATTTAATATTTATTTTAATATTTAATGTTATTTTATATACCAAGATTAATAATTAATCCTTGTGTCTCCATACTAATAGGTTTATCAATAAATATCAAAGTCTGTGCCATTTTCAACTAGTAGTTTTAACACATAATACAGACTTTGTGAAGCTTCTTGGCAGGTTTGCTTATATTGATGAGTATGTTGAGGTGTCAAAAAACACTGAGTAAGTCATTTCCCATTTAGAAATTCTTCATGTAACATTTTACAATGAATTTTATAATGTAAAGAGTTTAATCTCTTTAACCAATATATGACATGATTGTCTTTTTCTCTAACAGAGGATTTTCAAGACTTACAGTGAAAAAAATTGAAGATTTATCTTCCAGTTGAAGAATTATTCTTCTTATCATCAGCTACCTTCAAGCTCTACAATTTAATTGTTTACTTTTATTATTACAACTATTTCTGTTTATTACATAAGTTCTAAGAAAATTTTTATTTCAGGATGTACTAAAAAAGTGCAAAAAATAAAAATAATTTTAAAACATCATTTTAAGTTGTAAAAGATAATTTCTGGGCATTATTAAAAACAGTGATAAAATAAACATATTTCTGAGAAATTTGAGACATTTCAAAGAAAAATAATAAAATATTTTTATGGCTGAATTATATTTTAAATAATTCTCATCAAAAGTGTTGGTATTTGCATAAACCTCTAGATTTCCTGGCTGTGATGTACATGTTGTAATTATGATATTTAAGGATTTAGTTAGTTATATTCTTTGTGCATAATAGAAAATGAATGTCAATATTCTGTTTTTAAAACTGCATGGGTTTGATGTTAGGTGGATTAATTTGATGCTCTACTTTTAGAAAAAAACTTTTACTATACATTAATGACAAAATTTTCTTTAGCATTTTTGTTTCATAGCTCTAGGGAAGATGGTGCTCAAGTTTAGTTGAATTAATCTACCTGTGATATTTTTATACTTGGAGTATATTGGTCCTTGTTTTTTTTCATGTTTTAGCTTGTAACATATGTTAGGATACAATTAACCTTAATGAGCTCAAGTGGTAATAATAATAATGTGATTTGCTGATTGTGGTAAACTAAAATCAATAAGGTGAAATTATATTATTTAATTGTGTGATGGTTATTTTGGATGTTTATGATGTACAAGCTGACCCGCAGCATTGTTTTTTATTTTCTACTTTTCAGTAATTCATAATTTGTAAATTTTGTCAATACCCTTTATAGCCGTCACTAATTAGACCCAGCTCTACGATTCTAAACATTCTGCATGAACCACAGCTCACCAGACTGGTGGGTGTGGTGGTGATAGCAAAATGGTCTTTTGCTCATGCCTGGAGAGCAAAAGAGGGGGAGGTGGGTGGTTAGATAGTCTGCTTGCATTGTCTTGCCCATGAAGAGAATTATATATATAGATTGTGTTATTTTAAGATCATCTTAGATATTATTCTATGGAGTCTTGTTTGTAGCTGTTAGTTTTAGTAGTTCAGATATCAGCTGGAGAATGTAAAGATATATATCATGATCAGGCATTTGTTCACGAAATATATATATATATATATATATATATATATATATATATATATATATATATATATATGTATGTATATATATATATATGTATGTATATATATATGTATGTATATATATATATGTATGTATATATATATGTATATATATGTATGTATATATATATGTATGTATATATATATGTATGTATATATATGTATGTATATATATATGTATGTATATATATATATGTATGTATATATATATGTATGTATATATATATGTATGTATATATATATGTATGTATATATATATATGTATATATATATATATATATATATATATATATATATATATATATATATATGTATGTATATATATATATATGTATATATATATATGTATATATATATGTATGTA